ACAGGGATTGGTGTGTAAAATGAAAAAAATGATAGTTTGTTTTTATTTTTAAAAAATAAAATATAATATAAAAAAGGAAAAAATAAATAAATGGGACCTCATGAAATTGAAAACCTTCTGTAAGGCAAAGGATACCATCAGTAGAACAAAATGGCAGCCTACAAAATGGGAAGAGATTTTCACCAACTCCAATATCCAAAATATATTAAGAGCACAAGAAACTAGACATCAAAAAAACCAATAATCTGATTTTTAAAATGGGATACATAACTAAACAGAGGATTCTCTATAGAAGAATCTCAAATGGCTGAGAAGCACTTTAAAGAGATGATCAACATCCTTAGCCATCAGAGAAATGCAAATCAAAACTAATTTGCGATATCATCTTACACCTGTCAGAATGACAAGATCAATAACACAACTGACAACTCATGCTGCGAGGGATGTGGAACGAGAGGAACACTCCTCCATTGCTGATGGGAGTGCAAACTTGTATAACACTGTGGAAATCAATATATTGGTTCCTCATAAAACTGGAAGTCAATCTACTTCAAGACCCAGTTATACCACCGATGTATATATACCCAAAGGACTCTCCATCCTACCACAAGTACACTTGCTCAACTATGTTTGTAGTGATTTTATTCATAATAGCCAGAAACTGGAAAAGAAAAAACCTAGATGTCCCTCAACCAATCAACAGATAAACAAAATGTGGTACATATACAAGATGAAGTATTACTCAGTTGTTAAAAAATGTTATCATGAAATTTTCAGGCAAATCAATGGAACTAGAAAAAAATCATCCTGAATGAGACCCAAATCCAGAAAGACAAACTTGGTATGTATTCACTTATAACTGTATATGAGCTGCTAAGTAAATGATAATCATGACAATCCACAGACTTAGAAAGGCTAAGTAACAAGGAGAGCTTTAAAGGAGACAAACTGATCTCCCTGGAAAGGGGAAACAGAATAAATTTTGCAGGTTGAGAGGGGGTGAGTAGGAATGGGAACAGAAGGGATCAGGTGGTAGAGGGATCTAGAGTGAGCATACAATAAGAGAGGATTGGAATTGGAGAGTATTTAGGTGGGTGGTGTGGAAACAGTGTGTTGTAGAATATTACTGGAAAAAGTGTTATGTTTATTTATGCTGTGAAATATTTGTTTAATGATGCAAAGATATGTTGCATTCTTTTATGTTGTGCCGTGGGCCTTTCCAGAAGAGCAGCAAGTTGCAATAGAAGCTCCAGGTGTCAGTCCACCAGAAGGGAATACTCTGATAGGTCAATCTCGTTTAGGCAAGGTAATGGGACTACAGACCCCAGAATGCCTTTTGCTTCTACTATGCCTTTAAATGTTTTTTTTAAATATTTATTTATTTATTATGTATACACTATTCTGCCTGTGTGTATGCCTGCAGGCCAGAAGAGGGCACCAGACCTCATTACAGATGGTTGTGAGCCACCATGTGGTTGCTGGGAATTGAACTCAGAACCTTTGGAAGATCAGGCAATGCTCTTAACCACTGAGCCATCTCTCCAGCCCACAGATATCTTCCTCTGGTATCTAGCATAGTGTGAATGGATATAAGGAGACCTCAACTGCCTGTAATATAGTGTTTATCTTTTGGAATCATCCAATTTTTCTATGCATTTTTACGTTTGGATTGTCAAGAAGATGACACCCTCCCTAAGGTGCACTGCATAATATGATAATAATAATGATAGTGTATACAGAGTTTTGATGAATAAAAATAAATACAAGGATATGTTTCATAGCCAAAGTCCGTGAGTCTCACCTAAGGAGCTGCATGAATTGTAGCTCAAGTTAATGACTAACAATTGAGTCCCAACAGCCCAGCTAGTTTAAATTCTTTTTACCTTAATGTCGGGTAGATGTGTTCACAGGTCTCAGAGTGCACCAGAAGACAATCTAAAGGTTTAAAAAGGCACACAGTTGAATGCAGAACTCTTTACACTCTGGGAACAAGAACAAAGCCACCCAATTATTGCTGGCTGATGTACTCTCTCCTTGCTAGGTTTGGTGGATGACCATAGGTGATGACTAATTCTTTATACCCATTTATATCCTCAGTTTCCTGGTATAAAATTATTAATGAATGGTTATGTACCTTAAAGATTTAAAGTAGAGTTGACTGATTCTTTTCCTTATGTAAAAGTTTAGGTTTGTGATTCCTTATAAGATTACCTTTCAAGAAAAATGATAAAGTAATTGGCCCTTTCTTTATAACTGCAAAATGCAGCCTGCCAGTGAAAGACCTGACTAAAACACCTTGATGGCCACATGGTTAATCTATAACACGTTGCTTCCTGATTCAGCATTAGCAGGAAAACATGTGTGGTTTTGAAAAGTAGCTTCCAGGGCCATGCTGCCAGAACAAACTCTGTCTTTTTCAGGAAGCTGAGCACTTGATTGGGGCTTGTGGGCAGCATGCTGCAAGTTACCTGTTGGGACCATGGGCAAACTGGTTACCAGAGTTGAGGTGATGAGCATGGCTTCCATTTGGCAGTCTCAGAGGCAGTGAACAAACCTCAACCATGATGGACTGGGTGAAGCCAAAAGGAAAAGCAGCCTTAGTCCGAGCCATGCTGCTTTGTATTTTGAGATGTGGTCCCGGTCAGAAAAGGATTATAGATATGCAATAAAGACAGATTCAGAATTTAAAACAAAAAAGACCTCTGAATGGGTCACAATATTGGATAAATATATGTAGACTTGGGAGAGAGAAGAAAAAGAGTATAGAGAGTTATGAAAAAAGTAAATAGTTATTTCAAAAATAAAACAAAGGTCTTTAAAGAGACAGAGTAAACTTGTACAAAAAAGTAATACAGTAAGAAAAAGAAGCCATGTAAAGATAGAATATACACAGAGAGACTGGATTATGTGTACTATTGTGTTTTCTTTGAATTTTCTGACTGAAGAGAGACATTTGGTTCTGGGGACTGCTAAGCTAAACCAACATATATACTTTAAAGGAATCTTAATTTCAAAATTTGAGTAAAGGATATGTTGCTTTGGAAAAGAGATTCTTCTTTTGTTTCCACAGAGGATGAGAACCTGTGGATTCCTTCCAGACTAATGTGGTTTGATGAACCAAAATCCCCCAAAAGTCGCTGTGAACAAAAGCAGGAAGCAGTTTGGAGAAAACTATGCTCAAATTCTCAAATATTATTTATAAATGTTTGTTTACATTTAAAGGGGATATGCTATAGAGATGGATACTTTGCTCTGATATGGATCTTGGTCTACTGATGCAAATTTTAGTTCAGTTTTGTTATATGTATATTTCTGTTCCTGATTAAGGTACTGTATTTGTGCAGCTCATTTAAAATTGTAATGTATAATTAAGAAATACAGGTTAATAGATAGTCATCTATAATAGTCAATCTTGTAATCATGTTAGGTTTTCTAGACATATAGAGATATAGTTCAGTAAGATAGGTATTCTTCAAATCTTTCAGAGACCTTCAGAATATGGCATTTAAAATATTTTAAGAACTTAGGAGTTTTCATGACAGTGAGACACATCTGCTCCTGGCAGCACCAATTACTTCAAGAGGCTGATGGGCATTGAAGAGGCTCCTTATGGAGTTGGTTAGCCATTTGGGCAAGGAACTGCTCTTGCCTGGAATGCTTGATGTTATGTTGTATGAACTATACATGCAGGACCCACAGAAAAATGACTGTTGAATTTGTCTAAAGGTGAGATGGTCCTTTGGGGTTCCTGCTTTATGAAAGAACTGCCAGACATTCTATGGGACACAGAAGAAAGTGACTGACAGACTGCCAATATAGGCGGAACTGTCTTTGAAATTCTCTGCTTCAAGGAAAAGTCTGCCAGATACTATAGGCCTGTAGGCTGAAGATAGATGCTCTGTTACAGAAGAACTTTGGGTGACTGTCTGAAGGCGTAAGTCATAAACAATGCCACACCAGTTTGGAATTATAATTAATAGGGTGGTATTTATTTAAAGGGGGAAAAAAACTTACAGATCACCGTCAGCCCTCTGCGCAACCAGGAAGGGAGTCTAGTCACCAGCGGAGCAGGAAGTGAAGAGAGAGAGGAGAGGGAAGTGGCCGCTTTTTTAAAGGGAGAGAGACCACGCCCCAATGGGCTGGTATCTCAGCGGCTATAGGCTGGAGGAGGGAGGACCTCCCGCAACAACTGTCCAGGCAGCAGGCAGCAGGCAGCAAGATGTCTTTGTCAAATCTAGAGTTTTGGGTGTTGCTTACAATTCACTTCCTGTTAACTTAGGTATCCTTCTGGAGTCTTTGATGGAGTTGAAGAATAGATAATTATAATTGTTTTCCTTAGTTATGATAAAAGATAAAGTAGATATAAATGTTGTAATTGTAATTCTTGCTTGATACCTGTTTTGTTATATGTAATCTTGTGATGTTAAAGTTAAAACCTTCCTTTTTATCAGCCGGACTAGAAAGGAACAAGCATAGGATCGAACTAGTCCCTCTGAATGTGACTGACAGTTGCATAGCTGGGGCAGACTGAGGGGCCACTCACAGTAGGCTTTATCCCTACTGCTTGTTTTGACTTTTTGGGAACCTATTTTCTTTGGATGGATACCTTGCCCAGCATAGATATAGTAGAGAGGGCCTTAGACCTTCCCCAAAGCAATGTGTCTTGCCTTCTCATAAGAGTGGATGGGGGTGGGGTGGAGAGTATGTGGAGAGAATGGGAGAAAGGGAGGGAGTGAGAACTTGGGTTGGTATGTATAAAAAAAAAGATAGTTTGTTTTCTTTATAAAAACTGAGAGATGGCTCAGTGGTTAAGAGCATTGCCTACTCTTCCAAAGGTCCTGAGTTTAATTCCCAGCAACCACATGGTGGCTCACAACCATCTGTAAAGAGGTCTGGCGCCCTCTTCTGGCCTGCAGGCATACAGACAAAATATTGTATACATAATAAATAAATAAATATTTTTTTAAAAAATATGAAAAATAGAAAATGATCCATTGGTTAAAAACTCCTTTTATTTTGAACCAAGAAGAGCAGAGATGGTTCTTGGTTGAACTGTTCTGTATTACATTCATAACATGCTAATAACTCAGTTATTACAGTTAGTACAGGTCATGGTCAATACAAGTATTACAGACTGGAGAGGGCAGTGGGTGATAACTCAGGAAAATCTTCCTAAAGAAGATGGATGCTCACTGGATTGTGGGGCGAGGGAGAGATGTGAGAGAATAAATGACAGAGGTATCCCTAATAGTGGGAAGGAGGACGGCCATGCCTCTGGAAAGAAGTCACAGACACCTGCATAGCAACAGCCAGTCTGTTCTTTAACGAGGAATGAAATACAGCTGGTATGAAGGTGGCACGCGGCCAAAAGTACTGGCCACTGGAGTAGTTTCAATGTCCTTTGTATCAACCGAAGATTTCAGATCGAAATTCTGTACAATGGTGGTCAGAAACAGAAACAGCTCCATGCGAGCCAGGGCCTCTCCCACGCACATTCGCTTTCCTGAAGAAACAAAAGCAAACTCAGAGGATTCCCTCCTTACAGTAGGTGACAAACTGTTATAAAGGCAGTCATGTATTTGATTCTTAAATGGTGAGTGACTGAGTCAAACACAGAATGGCAAAATGAACAGATGCACACAGCATTGGACACAATGTCATCTACTTACTGCCTGGCTTTCGTGGGCACCCTTCATTCCTTAAATATTTTTTATAAGCTCTCCATCACAACTTTAATAACAATTCAGACAGTAGAACTATCCTTTGACCTTTCAAGTTGATGTCAATCTTCTAGTGACACTTTCACGTCACTGTTCTAATTGCCAAAGGTGCAAGGGTCAAAGGGATTCTGATACTAAGTTCCGTTTGTGCCTATTCAAGTTTACCTGTCTTATAGCTATAATTTCCTCACTTCAGATGCATCTCCTGCAGTTACCCTCTGAGGCAAGATCCAAACGTTTTGGCCTGGACCTTCACATTCTCTTTTCTGTCTGATACTCAATGTCATGCCTCTCCCTCTGCAGCTCCATTCATGGCTCCCTTCCCCAATCTTGAGCACCATAAAGAAGGCTTCAGGCTTCACCATTTGACTAAGAAGTGCTGCTCTGAGACTTTCCTGAAGACACACTATATGTGCCATTTCTTTAGGACCCTTTGTGACCCTGACTTCCAGGTTTCCTTACTGTCCCTGCTTTCAGAGTAGCGTGGACCACTTGAACATGATGCTGTTGTCATCTTTTGCCTCTCTGACCAAATGTGAGTACCCTAAAAAGAAGGGCAGTCTGTCACATATGGAAATGTACAGTGCAGACCCACGTGAAAGTCATAAAAACACATAGTAAAGAACAAATGAAACTCTGTGTCCAGAGACTCGGGACACATAATATGCAGTGAAATTGAACATCCAAGATAAAGGATCATAAGTAAAGGAAACTCTAGGGACTCTAGAATCACTACAGAGTGTCCTTCCACATTTTTAAGGTCTTTCTCAGCCTTCCTTCTCATCAAGTTCTGGTCTCCTGCATCTACAGAAAATGTCTCCTCCTGTACTTTATTTCCTCCGTACAGTTCCCTGCCTCCTCTTCTTTTCTTACTTCCTTCCTCCCTGTGAGTCAGCCAACTTCCCTCTATCCTGTTCGAATACTCCCATGGATATGAAAGGGCAGGTTGTGAGCAACTTCCCCTCTGACCTCGCCAGAAACCCAAGCTTCCCTCTCTCACAGCACTAGTCCAACTGAATTACAGTACCCTGTTGACTCACCTGCTTCCCTAACTCAGGAGTGAGTCTCTCCAGAGCCCATTATATTCTCTAGGGCACTTGGTTTCTCAGAGGTGTCTGGGAATGGACTGAGACACTTTTCTCATGCAGATTAGGACAGTCTAAATGAGGTTCACTTCTAATAGGAGCACTTAGGAAGGGTAGAGGTAAATGCAGAAGCAGAATTCAACTGACTATGTTCTCGTTTTCTCAATTTAAATCATAGGCTGGATATTCTCAAGTCCCACTAACATGGAGCAACAATGAGGATGGGCCACGATTGAGAAACATGTGTAGGCATTGGGAGTCTTGCTCCTGAGGCTAGGCACAAAGGGAAAACCCACCTGTCCCTGAGGACATGGTAGATGATCCAATTTATCTCAAAATTGTAACTTGTAGAATCATGCCTTGTGGTACATGTCTCTAGTGCCAAATATTCAGACAGCTGGAACAGGAAGCTTGAGTTCAGGAGTCTAAGGTCAGCCTAGACAACATAGTGCCCCCTGAAAAAGGTTTACCTTGTACCTGAAGTACAAATAGAAATAAACTCATTTACCTGTTGAGAAAGGCATAAAGTAGTCACTCTTCTTAAAGTTTCCTTTCTCATCCAGAAAATGGCCAGGATCAAATATTTTGGGGTTGGGAAATTCTTTGTCATCATGTAGCACAGAAGTCAGTGATGTGACTATGTCTGTGCCCTGAAAATTACAAACAAAAGGATGTGATAAAGAATTCAATGAGTGGAGGGGGTTGGCGAGGTGGCTCAACAGGTAAAGGCTTGCATGGAAGCCTGAAAACCTGAGTTTGACCCCCAGATCCAGTCCCAGAAGGTGAAGGAAGAGAACTGACTCATGCAAGTGGCCCCCTGACTTACACACACACGCACGCACACACACACACACGCACGCACACACACACACACACACACACACACACACACACATTCAATAAATAAATGTAATTTTAATAATTAACAATGAAAAAATAAAATGCTATCATAGCTTCTTTTCAACTGTCTTAGACATCCTCATTCATGAAGCAAAAAGAACACTATACCCGTCAAAGTTAGTCCTAAAATTTGAAGCCACGATAAAGGCTCCAGAAAAAAAAAAAAGTAGTTCTTCAAAGTGAAAGAAATGTTAGTTCATAAGAAAAAACGTGAGAATGTATGGAGCTCACAGGTCACAATAAATTACAGACAAATTCGAAAGGCTTTAACATTGTAAAAGAATAAAACACAAATCCTATCTTTACTATGAATGGCAAAAAAACAGTCAAAAATTATAAATGTTTAAGTATGTTCAAATATAAGCAGAGGACAAAGGATATGGCATCCAAATCAAATTGTGGAGCCATAGCTCAGTGTAACAACACTTAGTTGATGTGTACAAGGCCTTGGGTTCAATCCCCAGCCCTACAAAGAAAAGAAAAGGAAGTAAAATGATAAATTTCCAAAACATACATGAGCAAGGTGGCACATGGCCATAGCCTAGCACTGAAGGACAGAAATATGGAAATCATTTCAATTCAAAGGACCGGGGACAACATCAACAAAACAGTGAGACCCTGACTCAAATTTTAAAAAATGCTCAAAATGTAGAAAAAAAAAAAAAAAAATATATATATATATATATATATATATATATATATAGTCTTCTATTGGGCTGTTTTCTGTTCCCCTTTTTGTTTGCTTATTTGTTTATCTCTTTTTAAACTTTATCAGCATGTTAAGTTGCCATTTCAACATATCATGATGAATCAAAAATTTGTTTTCCTATACAAGACAAAATCTATTGTAGACACACACAAAATAAGCAATAATTCAAAACATGCTTACACACTTTTTGGGTACACCATGTTGCAACAAAAAAGGTGTTTAAAAGAAGGAAAAGAGGGCCGGAGAGATGGCTCAGATGTTAAGAGCACTGCCTGCTTTATCAAAGGTCCTGAGTTCAATTCCCAACAACAACATGGTGGCTCACAACCATCTTTAATGAGATTTGGTGCCCTCTTCTAAGCATGCAGGCCTACATGCAGGCAAACACTGTATACATAATAAATAAACATATATTTTAAAAATAAAATTTTAGAAAAAAAGAGAGAGAACAAATAAAGAAGCTATAATTAGACCAGAAAATAAATGATAATTGGAAGGCACTGCTTTTCTGTGCTTACCCTAATTATATATGAAATTCTCAAATTGAAATACTATACCATGAGAAACTTAATGTTAAAAAAATATATATTGTTAGTTTACTTCACCTATAGGTATGTATATAAACTAAAACAGATGCAATAAAATGGTACAAGCACTGGAATCTGAGTAAAACAGAAGTAGCCATAATAAAATAAAATATTCTTGAAGCCAAAAGCAGAAAAATGAGACAAAGTATGTCATAGTAAAAGACTTAATTCGGTCACAGGAATATATAAAATTAAATTATATGTTATATATTATAATTTGTAATCATATACATAGATTATATTATATAATACCAATTTTCTATTGTATGTTATTACATGTGTTTCCAACATAAAGCATGGTACAACATAGAGCAACAAATATAAAAGCTTAACATATTAGGATTAGACAGAAACATAGACTCCAATATAGTAAGAGTAGGGGACTTTGACACCTTTCAGCAGTATACAGATCTCACAGCTAGTTAACAAAAAATAGCAATTTTAAGTGTTTTATAGAGTTTATACTTTATTCATAAATTCAGAAATCTCATTCATTCTGGAAAAGGGTAATCTATGTGGAAGCCATTGTACTGAAAACAATATTGAGAAAATTAAGGAAAGGTCAGATAACCTGGGACCATAATCAAATCCACAAATCAAAAGTTTTAGCACATTAACGCATCAATAATTTGTAAATTACTGCATTTAAAATCACCCCAATAAAAAGCCTCAGCGAAGCATATTGGAAAATCAACAAACTGAATATTTAACATTTACTTAGAAAATGTAAACATAACCCCAATAATATTTAAGAAGGCTATATTTGGATGACATTCACTAATAAGATGTCTCATAAAGCCGCAAGCAGATCTGTGAGTTAGAGGTTAGCCAGAGCTACACAGTGAGATCCCATCAAAAGAGGAGGAGGAAGAGGAAGGAAGAGGAAAGGAGGAAGAAACTTACTAGTCATACAGGAGTCCTGAAATTTTCTCATTTTGTGTTGGTGAAGGATTGGAACCAGATTCTTAATTTAAAAACTAAAAGATAACTGAAGTGCGGGATCAGAGAAATAAGCTTACCTTGGGAATTACATAATTTCTGAATCTGACATCACAGGTAGCTGCATGGGGCACGTTGTTGGGGATGAGGTTAACGTATCTCTGGATTTCGTGCACCGTCGCATCTGTGTAAGGCATTCGGGTTCTGTCCTGCATGCAAGGACTCCTGTTTCTGCCAATCACATGATCAATCTCTTTCTGGACTTTAGCTGATAAGGCACAAATGAGAAATGGTAGAGTTGCTATAATGATTCAAGCCAATATGAAGTGTGATAAAAAAATATCAGGCCACACGCACATAATAGAATTAGAAACTTGGTATAATACACAAAACTCTCCCACTATTTAGGCATTATCTGTGCAGACAGGTACATTATTGTGCAGCATTATCAATACACAGAAATGATAAAATGCTTTTAATATGTAAATGTCTCAATGACATTATATAGAAAAAAACACAAAACAAAAATTAATTTCACATCAAAATAACAGTAATTCTTAAAATGAAAACCTGGAGCTGGAGGGAGGCTTCAGTGGCTAAAAGCACTGGCCTGTCCTCTAAAGGACCCAGATTTAATTTCTTTTTTTTTTCCTTTTTTATTTTTTTTTATTGAAAAAAAATTTTCCGCCTCCTCCCAGCCTCCCATTTCCCTCCCCCTCCTCCCACTCCTCTTCCCCTCCCCCCACTCCTCTCCCCCTCCCTCTCCAGTCTGAAGAGCAGTCAGGGTTCCCTGCCCTGTGGAAAGTCCAAAGTCCTCCCCCCTCCGTCCATGTCTAGGAAGGTGAACATCCAAACTGGCTAGGCTCCCACAAAGCCAGAACATGAAGTAGGATCAAAACCCCGTGCCATTGTCCTTGGCTTCTCAGCAGCCCTCATTGTTCGCCATGTTCAGAGAGTCCGGTTTTATCCCCTGCTTTTTCAGTCACAGTCCAGCTGGCCTTGGTGAGCTCCCAATAGATCAGCCTACAGGTGGCCCACAACTGCCTCTAACTCAGTATCGGGAGATCTGATGCCCTCTTCTAGACTTGTAGGCACCTGACATGAACACAGTCCTCAGACATACATGTAGGGAAAATGCCCATGCACATAAAATCAGTAAATAAATTTTTGGATACTAATATCTGTACATGTGTATTTGTGTATATGTAAAACTTTATATCCTTTTTTATCCTTACATTTCCCAAAAGCATTCACTTTGAGACATTGTAAAAGTTTTGTCTATAGTTTCTATTCACATTTGTAAATAATAACTATTTCTATTATTTGATAATACTGTTTCTGAGCAGTTTTACAACAGAGATGAATTACACCCTATGATCACTTCACACAAAATATACTGACACACATATACATGCAAACATTCACACATACATATAAATACACACACATACATATGCGCACACACACACAAACATATACACTCCAGACAGTACCTAGAGTATCTTTTCATTTGGAGCTTTGATGTTTGACTACTGCTCACAGTAACTACACTTCCCTCTTGTTCTCTCTATTGTCACAATTAATCTCATTTTTATCTTATCATATGTGTATAATGACAGCTAGTGACACAAAAACATCAATATTAAACTTTTTTCAGAGATGTCAGCTTTGCCTCCTCCATGTCGAACTCATACCTATGACGTCTGTGTGCTTCAGGAGGAGCAAGAGTCCGTATCGCAGGGTAGTACTTGTGGTTTCCGATCCAGCTACAAACACATCGGCCACTGTAGCCATCAGACTTTCAGTAGTAAACTCAGACTGCGGGTTGTTCTTTTCCTAGGAATTTTTATTTCATTATTCGATAGTGACAGTTATACTAAATTTCAACAAGTGCAAATAATACAGGTCATTCTACAGATAAGCAAATTTAGAAAGGGGAGGGTGTAGTAAAAAACATTAGAACAAGTGCACAATATGGCAGACCATGCAAATTACCTGACCCAATCTTCATGTTTATGCCCTAATTTCTTCCTTGCATCAAAATCCAATTTCTCAGACCTTCTTCTAGCTATATTACACCACAAAAACCATGTCACACTAATAACATAAGAAAAAGAAGCCCCTGGTACAAATTTCTCGTTAGAGCAGTGGAGGTAGTAGAGCTGGAACATGAGTATTTTAACACTTGTATGGGGGCTGGGGAGACGGCTCAGCAGTTAAAAGCACTTGTTGCTCTTCCAGAGAACTCAAGGTCAGTTCCCAGCACTTACATCAGGCTCCTCTGCAAATCCCTCTGTAACTCCAGCATCAAAGAATTCAACACCTCTGGCTTCCAGGGTCACCTGGACTCGTGTAGAAATACATATACCTATACACAATTTTCAAATAGTAATAAATCCTTAAAGATCAGCATGAATGCTCATGCACTAAAAGTGAAAGCATGGCAAGGAAGAGTTTTCAGAATGTGATACAAAATTGAATAAGAGACTCCAGAATCCCCTTCCACCTGTCTCTGAAGAAAAGACAGAATAGGATTTGAGCCTAACACACTTGTCTGTTTTTATCTATGTTGTTCTGCTACCAATAAAGACTTGGCCTCAGATATTAGCATGAAAACCTGGTAGATCAAAGATGTGACAGAGGAGCGACAAGCTGACCTTCTCTCCACACTTCCCAGAACAGAACAGGAAGGAAAACAAGTCCACAAATCTCCAAGCCCCTTCCTACTCCTTGCTGTGCCTTTCTATCCGTATCCTGGGTTCTCTGTATTCTCTATGGCTAATTTTTGTTAACTGGCTGCCGGCTATGTTCCCTGATTCAAGGTTAACTTTACTAACACAGTCTCAGGGCATCACAGTGTGATCAAATATTCCACAACCTTTGTCAACTGAGAAATTATTTATATTCATACCAAATGGGAAGTAAAGGCTGAAATTATATTGGACCAATAATGGCAATCCAAAGACTCTACCATAAAATTCTTTCTTGCTTGCTTTCTTCTTCCTTTCTTTCTGTCTTTCCTTCTTTATTTCATTTATTTGTTTGTTTCTATGGTTTGTCGAGACAGGTTTCTCTGTGTAACCTTGGCTGACCTGGAACTTGCTCTGTAGATCAGGCTGGCCTCAAACTCAAGAGATCCACCTGTCTCTGCCTCCCATGTGCTGGAATTAAAGGCATTCGCCACCACTGCCTGGCTAAAAAAAAAAAAAAATAGTTTTTATTTTGTTTTTGTCTATTTTGGTTTGGGATTTTGGTTTTTGGTTTTCTGGTGTTTTGGTTTTTAGTTTTGGGTATTTTTGTTTTTGGTTTTTGGTTTTGTTTTGTTGTTGTTGTTGTTGTTGTTTTGGGGATTTTTGTTTTTGTTTTTTGAGATAGTGTGGCTCTGTTAACCTGGTTGTCCTAGAACTCGCTCTGTAGACCAGGTTAGTCTTGAACTTAGAGATCTACCTGCCTCTGACTCCCAAATGGTGGGATTAAAGGCATATGTCACCACACCCAGCATCATAAAATTCTTTAAAAGTCTCAACATACAGAATTTTCTGAGTGAAGGAAGGACAAGGCCATAATTGAAACTTTCTATCTCAAAGGTTCCCAGTAAGTTGATTATTAATTAAGCAACTCCGAAGCAGAGGGAAATAAACATCTATGTGGGTCTCTAAACCACAGGGGGAACCGGCTGCTTTGTATAGGCCTGCAGTTACCACTAAGGGTGCTAACCACTGGGGAGAATCCTTTTAAAATGGTAAGTGCAGGTGTTATACACATTGCTATTTTAATATAAATTATTACAGTTATCTTGACAAATAGCATGGTGGTTCATCAAAAGAGCAAAAATGAAAGAAATACGACTCGACCATTCCACTCTTCATCATACATCCAAAAACTAATTGAAATTAACAAGTCAAAGAGACGCCTACTCTCCTGTGTTACTTCCAGCATTGTCCCTTGAAAACAATCGAGTTGCCCATTGATAAATTGGTGGGATTTTTAAATATGAGATAGATTTAAAATTCAAGATAGCTGAGAATAAGTCAAGATTAATGACAATATTATTTCAGAATCTATTTTCTCATAATCCAGACTACCCTTAAGCCAGTCTAGAGACGGGAAAGACCTTGTATCTGGTCTTTGAACTCCATTCTCATCTCAGATATGACTCTACTGAACTCAGTGATTCACCCTAGAAGCACAAGCATTACACTGTCTTGCTTTAACCAAATGCCTGACTAAATCAAATCTCTTCATGCCAACACCTGTGTGTGCAGAGTACCTCAAAGACATCTTTACCTGTTTGTGCTGAATCATTTCTGGCTCTACCCAGCTAAGGTGACTTTCCTCCATGTCAGCACACATGTGAGCCTCTCATCGCTCTCGTCACTGTGCACATCCTAATTCTCACTCCTGCAACCTCACTGCAAACACTCAAAGATTAGTAATGAAACTGAGTCACCAATGAAGCCTAACAGGTGAAGCTCATGTTTACCATTCTTCTATACGGTCAGGTTCACTTTTTACTTTAATGTTTGATATTTTATATTTTCAACATCACTTATATGTCTAACTACCTGAAATGTATATTCCTTTTCCTCATACACTTATTAAATGATGCTGATGTATTTTAATTGCTTAACAATTCATTTTAAAATCTTAAATGATGCTAGACCAATCCATGCCCACAATAGGAACTAAAATGCTTACCAAGTGTTTCTTGCCTAAAAAGCTAAATTTCGAACAGTAAGAATAGAAATGATTGATGATATGCAAAATGAAAGCCCACAAATAACATTTTACCTGTTCCATTTTGATCAGGAAACAGTCAATGAAGTCCCGAGGATTGTCCATGTCTAGTGTTTCTTGGTGTTCTTTCACTCGTTTCAAAATATAACTTTTTATATCAGCAAAATTTTTAAGTACTTTCCTGTGGCTCCCTGGGAGATAATCGAGGAAGATAGGAATAGCATTGCAGACCTTAAAGATTTAAAAATATGCATTTATTAGGCTGAATGTGGTCACTCACATTTGTAGACCGGTTACACAGGAGGCTTACATGAGCAAATTACGGTAGTCTAAGAGTTTGAGAAAAGCCTGGATAGCATAATGAGATAATGAGATGCCATCTCAAAAAAAAAAAAACTCCTAAGTTATAAACATGTATTAAAGTCATATTCGGCAAATTTCAAGCAATAGTTAAAGAGTAGAGTGAATTAAAAAGATGGTGGTCATTTGACAAAGAACACTTAACCAGATATTTTAAGAGATCACTATGTTGACCAAGATGATCAAAGATGAAAACTCAGCTCTGGAATTTCATGAGTAGACTCCTCTGCAGGTAGAGCTTGAAGGACATTTGTCAGGCATGATCTTGAAACAGATATGGCTGTTTATAACTGGGCTGCTCTTTTTATCCTCTGGCTTTTGTGGTTACTCCAGGTTATATATGATAGAGTGTCACTGATATATGACGGGGACTTATACCCATGAGCTCTTTACAATAGGGCAACTACACAAGACCTGCACAATGACAGCTCCAGCTGGCCAACATGGATGGGAGAAGTCTCACAAGGCCTCACTCCTAGATGAAGAACTAGAGGCAATTAATGGATGCTGAAAGTGGGAGAATCAGTCTTGTCCAGAGATGAGACCCCCTGCTAGGTTATCCAGTACCAAATATTTATCTTTAAATGTATGAACATATGAGCAACACGTGTATTTATATATCCATGTGCATATTACACAATAATTAAAGAAGGAGAGGTCATAAAGTTGAGAAGTAGGGGGCATAGGGGAAGAGCTGGAAAGGGAGAGTGTGGGAAATTATAAAAACACAGTACTCATCCATGAAATTAAACTTGCAAAACAATAATAACAAAATAATTGTTTAAAAATATGAGATATCCTTGAGGACTGAAGATAAAGAACAATCAGATGTCAAGGAAATCACTGGAAGCTGTTGAAATACCTCTTCTACCAGATTTGGCTGTTGACCTAAAACTACTTTTTAAGTCTTCTAAAAATCTATAGCAGAGACACAAACCAAAAAATGCATCAATACAGGGTGATAACAAGAGAGCTCAATAAGTAAACACTTTCTGCACAAACTGAGGAACTAAGTCAGTTCTCAGAATTTGTGTGAAGAAGCTGGGTATGGGTGCCCAAGCTTGTAATCCCAGAGATGGGGAGGCAAGAAGGAGGCATAGCCTTTGGACTCAGTAGCCAACTGGTCTACCCTGTAGGTGAGCTTCAGGCCAGAGGGAGATTCTGTCCCTAAAACAAGGTTGAGATCCTGAGAAAGCTTGTCCTCCAAACTCCACATGCCTGCATACATATACATGTGTATATGCACCACACACATGTACACAAACATACAAAAAACAAATAAAACAACTTTAAAATATGACAAAGCACCGGGGGTAAGGAGAGCACACCTTTAATCCCTGTACTCAGGAGGAGAGACTGGCAGATCTCTGTGAGTTTGAGTCTAGGCTGGTCTGCAGACCTAGTACCAGGAACAGCCAGGGCTATTCAGAGAAACCCTATCTCAAGAAATCAAAGTAAAATAAAATAAAATATAATAAAGATAAAATATTTCTAAAGAAAAAGAGAGTAGTGCAGGGGAGGGAGGAGGAAAAAGAACAATGCACTTAAGTATCTTCTTTCTGAAGCTGAAGCTTGAAGACAGTGTGTTGGCAGCCAGGGGTCATATGAACATGTGAACTATTATCTTCCCTACAGTTTGTGCTGGTATTGAGCCTGTACTGAACATGCAACTAAGTCCACAAGAGCCTTTACTTCAATAGTTTCCCTTCTTTGTACAACAGAGATAGAGTCCCTAACCTAAACCCCCCACCTTTATCTCTCTTTCTCTCACCCTTTTGAGACTTTGTATTACTGAGAGTTGGAGAGTCAGTGGCAGCAAGTCCTAAATCCTTCCTGGAGGATAACTACATGGTTGTACACAAATACTTTAACACAAAGTATGTAAACATTTACCCAGAAAATGCCAAGCTGAGTTTCTTAATGTCTGTGTTTAACTATTCACAAGAACTAAGAAATGGAACCAGCTTAGACACCCATGCAGGTTCGATTCCCAGTACCCACACGGTGACTCACAACTTTCTGTAACACCAGTTTGGAGAATCTGATACCCCACTTCTGGCCTCTATGGGCACCAGGCAAGTATGTGGTGCACAGAAACGTATGTAAGCACAATCCACATACATTAAAAAGAAAAAAGAGGGGGAAAAAAAAGAAAGTCTTTGTGGCGTTTTGTCTGTCCTTGTCCCACCTTTCTCCTTGGCTTGACAGAGGCCTTGATAATGACACCTTGTAGCTAGTTTGTGGTTTCCTTTTGTTATTGTTGTGTTGAAGATCAAACCTTGTACAAACTATACAAGCTCTTTACACTAAGATTTCTCTTCAGCCTCTACCTCTATTTCTCCTTCACCTACTTTAGCCTCCTGAGTAACTGAGATGGGGGAAGGTAGAGAGAAGGAGAGAGGGGAGAAAAGGTAATGGAGACTGATTCTGCTTTCCTACAAAATTCTTTATACCAAGCTTTGAAGTGAATGTCTGGAAATTAGACACATTGAACTGAAGTAAAAATTTTAATTCGTTAGAGAAATAAACATGATTTGTTGTGAAGAAAATGACTTTGTCTCACCTGCATCCATGGGGAGTTCAGAATTTTAAAGTTTTCATTTAATTTCTCCATCAAGTTAAGAAAATTCTTGTCTTCATAATCAAAACGATTGTGGAAAACAACAGAGCAGATCACGTTGGAGGGAGCCGAGCTCAGCATGAAGGTGGGGTCACAGAGTGAGCCTGAACAATTAGAATGCCATTGAAACAGACATGTAAAGTATTATCTTTGGACTAAAAAAAAACAATAAATATTTTAGAATCTCTGAGGAAGTATTGGCACAGAAATTACCATATTGTCAAGAACTTCCAAGCACTTCCAATTAGCAATCCTAGCTTGCTTAGTAATCATTAGCTAAATCTTTAGCATCTGCTTCCTGTGGAGACATCACTCTTTGGCTACACATTTCTAAAGTTCTAAGAAAACACCTGACCTCTTTTAAGACCACATAAAAACTCGAGTTTTCAGTGCAGAATCCCATCTCCCTTTAAAGGAAGAAAATACCCATCCAGAAACATTTCATATCCAGTGAATAGCTAAAGGAGTCATGTCCACAGCCAGCAGAGAAAAAAAGCCAAGGATAAAAACATTACAGGAAATGCATACATTCACTCATCAGAACAAATTTAAAAGAGCAGAAATATCCATATCAAACAAAAACTAACAAAAACCAAGCACCAATTCTCAGGGATTTGTTTGCCTAAAATAAAAGTGAAATTAAAAAGTCATTTCAAATGTAAATCCAAATGGAACAATCACAGAGTTTACATTAATAAATGGAGCTCTTTAATTTCTTCATTCCAATATTGGAGAAGAAAACATAGAAATTTTTTTTGGAAACAGTGTTTCTAGTCACCATGTATATTGGTTTCATTTCTTTAGATAAAGTCTACCCTCTACTGGAATCCTGGACTATTGCCCTACATAACCATCAACAGAGTATATGCATTTTTTCATTTGATATTTATATAAGACAATCTGGTCATAAGAAATAAAATCAGAAAAAATATTTATTTTTCACTGGCATATATAAATACAATGATGATGACTCATCCAGTGCCCTGTAGCCAACTGTAATCTCTTCCCCCTCAAAACAAGAGGATGACAAGCTTGAGGACAAACCAGACTACAAAGTGAAATGCTGTCTCAAAACAGTTTTTAATTAATGTACCAATAAGTTTTATTTGTAAGATAAAATTCATACCCTAGATGTAACGAAATGTACATAATGAATGAAAAGTATGTAGAGAAATGAAAAGAAATTCAAACCATAGAAACCTGTATAGTTAGAAGATTTGACAGAGTCCTTTTCAGGCAAAACACCAAGATATTCAGCTTTTTACTAAATAATAAACAAAAGAAATAAAAAAAGAAAGAAGGAAGGAAGAAAAGTAAGAAGAAAGGAGGGGGAAATTTTTATTTTGTCTTGGAAGTTAAGAAATAATTTAAACTTAAGTTATTAATTTAAGATTTAAGTCAAGCATAGGGGCATACACCCTTATTCCTGAACTTGAGGCAAAGCAGGCAGATCTCTGTGAGTTGAGGCCAGCCTGGTCTACATACTGAGTTCTAGGACAGCCAGGGCTACAGGGTAAAATTCTGTCATGACAAAAAAAATGAACAAAATAGAAATTTGTGTGTGCATTTCAGACTGAAAAAAATCTAATTTCTGGTGCTGGAGAACTGCCTCAGAAGTTAGAACACTGACTACTCTTCCAGAGGATCTGGGTTGATTGTGGCTTACAACCATATGCAATCTCTAGTTCCAGGTGATCCAATGTCTTCTTCTGGCCTCTGCAGATATGACACATATGTGGTACACAGACATGTATACAGGCAAGACACCCATTTACATAAATTAAAACTGAGAATAAATAAATAAATTTATCTCTAATAAAATTTTTATCTGATTTCTAATCTATTCTGATATGGGATTTCCCTTTGTATGCTGTGAAATTCATTGGTGAATAAAGAAACTGTCTTGACCTGTTGATAGGGCTGAGTAGAACTCGGTGGGGAAAACTATACTGAATGCTGGGAGAAAGGAGGTGGTGTCAGAGAGAAGCCATGGAGCCCCTGCCGGAGACAAACACACCTGAACCTTACCGGTAGGCAATGAGCCTTCTGGTAAAATATAAAATAATGGAAATGGGTTAAATTAAGATGTAAAAGCTAGCCAATAAGAAGTTAAAGCTAATGGGCCAAGCAGTGATTTAATTAATACAGTTTCTGTGTGATGACTTTGAGAGTATGGGCAGCCGGGAAACAAACAAGCAGCCTCCTTACTACACTATTCTTATATTTAGGAAAGGTAATGAAAACTAGAAGTAACTGGGAATACAAGCTGAAAAACCAAACTCATTTTGACAAGCATTTCATGAGTAGAGCTAGCATCAGGGTTAAGTAATTATGAAAGTTCAAAGCCAAAATTCTAGTGGTTTAAGATGCACTCAGAACGTCTTTTTTAGTCAGATATCGTGAAAACAACCAATCAGATGAGAATCTAGCAAAGAGTGGAGGTTACAGTGCCCAAGAGGAGGCAAACCACATCATACAGAGTCACTCAGGGACAGCATCAGGGTTGGTCTCCAGAAGAGGCAGAGACATCAGAAAACTACATTTTTGTAGAGGGCAAAAAGGCCTTTCACACATAGATAAGGACTGCAGAATCCAGGAAAGTTAAACACATGGTTTATCACTTCATTGGAATGAAGTGCATAGCTGCTCTTCCTGGAATGCCAGGAAGGATGTAGTTTTGCAACCCAGTGATCCTTTGCTGTCTGATGAGACAGGCTCTGTTCTCCCAGAGTTTATGTTTTTAATTATCCCAGACCTTTTCCCCTAACCCTTGAGTACTGTTTTTAGGTCATAAAGCACACTCTTAATTGAGTGATGTCGCTTGTTCTTTACAACAGCCTAAAGGACTGCTGTTGTCTTAGGGCCAGGCCAATCCTAACAACACCCACGGCATTGTTTACCTCAGTCAGGGTCCCTAGACCCTAAATCTTGGGCCTATCTCTGAGTCGACAGTTCCCTTTCTCATGAGATAAGTCAGATGTACTTTGCAAGGAATCTCAGTGTAAACATATCTTAAATAGCTCTGCACTTCGGACTAAGTTAATTGTTATAGGAATACTTTTTCCAATTGTGCTGTGCTTAAATATGACTAAAGTAAAATAATCAGAGCCAGTCTCTAGAAGTCTCCGTCTAGAGCTGGTTATAATAAAAGCAGGCTGAGCCGAATTTCACTCCTGTCTTCCTGAATGTTTTTTTTCTCCTGCCTGCTGTAAAGCCTGCAGGACATTAGGACATTCCCCTGAGGAAGACATGAAGCAGGGTGGGCATGAGCCTCATTGTTAGAGTAGTTAGAGGCATCTGAACTATAAGGCTGCTCTTAGAGATCCCATACTGTGCTGTGGGGGGACCGGGGGCAAAGGAAAACAGGATTGTCATGAGAATTTAATAAAGTAAACATTTGGAAGAATAAGCTGTCCTTAGGCTCTTTTAATAACCAAAGGCATGCTTTCTACGTCTAGAAAATAGCTACGCCTGGGAGGGGACCCTCTCTAGATCTGGATCATCGATTAATCAAAGATTTGTAAAATATAAAAAGTTAAAACATGGCTAACAAGCAACAAAGGATAGACTTAAAACTAACGTATAAGTAGAGGAAGCATTAAACGTAGTTGAAATATGTTATATAAAAAATTTCACACATGTTACATATTAGCAGAATACCATCAAGCACATATTTTCTCAAGATAGGAAATAGCATAGCAAATAGTGATTAACATCAAATAGCCACTGACAGCTTTTAAACAGCCCTTTGTTTACAGAGTAAACACAACTGATGAATGCAGCACTCAAAGATGCCTAAGTAAAATAAAATAAAAATATGATAAGTATCATTATTGGCAGAAGTTGCAAGCATGCATCTTGAGGCAAATCTGTGTCCATGTGTCATTAAATTTTACCAAACAGATACAGACAACCTCAACAACAACACATGCTACTTTCTCATAGTCCATGAAAATATGATGGGCTCATTCATACCAAGTACACTTGACAGATATTCTCTAAAGAAATATTCTAAATAATAAAGAAATAACTACACTATAGGAAAATATCCCATATATATAATTTTTTGTTTTTTTTTTGTTTTTTTGTTTTTTTTTTTTTGGTTTTTCAAGACAAGGTTTCTCTGTAGCTTTGATGCCTATCCCGGAACTAGCTCTTGTAGACCAGGCTGGCCTCGAACTCACAGAGATCCGCCTGCCTCTGCCTCCCAAGTGCTGGGATTAAAGGCGTGCGCCACCACCGCCCGGCTTCCCATATAAATTTTTATGAGGCTCAAAACTTTCTATCTTCATAAAGTTCAGGTTTGGAAGCAAGCTGGAGCAGAATAGGAGTAGCTGAGGATTATGATCACGCTGTATGCATAGTCAGTGTGTACAAACATAAGGACAGATAAGCAGAGCGCTGGCTTTGGGCTAGCAAGAGAGCCAACAACCACTGCCATTGAAAACGGCATAATTAAGGAAGAGCCAGGTAAACAGATACCCACCATCTGTTTTTCTTAACTCTTCCACAAGGCATCGCGCTTCCTCTTGAATGCGATCCTCGATGCTCCTCTTCCCCATCCCAAAATTCCTCAAGGTCATAAGTGAGAAGCGCCGAAGTTCCTTCCATTTTTTTCCATTGCTGAAAACGACTCCTACCGGAACAAGAAATGGAAACTAGAAGTGGGACCCAAGACAAGGAAGAAGACTGGCCTCTGACTGCCGCTTGGCACCCTACCCTAGAAGTTTTTCCTATCTCATCCCATGACCCCTTCCCAGCACACACCTTCATACATATGCATGCACATACGTGTGAATGCACCCTTACCAAGGCCATTATTCATTCTTTCGACAATTGGGAAGTCACCCCTTCCGGAAAACTCCTCTCCACGATCATCCAGAACTTCCTTCACTGCTTCATAGCCATGCACTACCACAGTGGGCTTCATGCCAAAATACAAAGTGAACACAGGGCCATAGACTTTGGAGAACTGGAAAGAAGAAAGAAAATGTATGGAGCAGGAGAAGAATCTAGATGAGCTAGGCTGCCACTAGCGTCTTACTCCCCACATGTGTAGTTTGGCAACAACTACTTCAAATTTAGTTGGATTCAGTACAGAGAAAGCTGTTTGTTGTCACTTCTAGGTGCTGCATGAGCCTGTTGTACCAGGAGATTACCAGGCCAATAGTGTGCAAACTGTCAGAACCTTGACACGCTGAAGAAACTTTCCCTGTGGGTTTCCAGATGAAGAGAGAGATGCTGAAAGAATCTCAAATTCATTTCAGTTTCCCGTGGGTGAAAATTCAAGACTCGGATTTGAACCCTTCTCAGTAGATCTCTTCTACTTGAGCAACTGACCAGGGTCTGATTCAGTCCTGCAATAAATACTAGAAAGCTACCATTTTAAAACTCCCTAGGCAGGCAGTGGTGGTATGTACCTTTAATCCCGGCACTTGGGAGGCAAAGGCAAGCAGATCTCTGTGAGTTTAAGGCCAGCCTGGTCTACAAAGTGAGTTCCAGGACAGACTTCAAAGCTACAAAAAAAAAAAAAAAAAAACTAAATAAAGAAGTAAATAAATAAATAAATAAAACTCCCCAGATGAGTGTGGTGTTAGGTGGTTTGTAATCCTGACATCACTGACTAAGGGACAGCACATGCAGTATCCCAGAGAAAGACGATCTCCTCCACGGTGCTCATTCATAGGTCAGAAGCAGCTTTGCACAAAGTCCAGAAATGCCAGTTCCCCCAGTGGACCTTACTAGTTCTATGTCATGGACAAATGTTTAATGTTGACTCAGATTTCCCTGGTATCAGACATAACTTGTTTTTTTGAATAAATTAAATTATTTTGGCTGATTTAAACACAAATATACAACACGTACATAGACAATCTCCTGTAAATTCTCAAAACAATTCCATTACTTTTTATCATGTGTAAAAAGTCATAGCTAAGGACCATGAAACAGAGAAAAAGTAGCTGTTCTCTGCTTTGTGGACTTTATCTTACAATGTAAAAATTTCTATTATGAACAAATATATTATTTCATTTAATCATTTCTGACAATAACAAATCAAATATGATACTCCACAGGACACAATTGCCTTATAGTAACATAGTTGAACCATTTGCTCCAGAAAAATATTTATTTAACAGCTGAGATTAATTATTACTTTCCAGCCACTGTGGAGCAGCAAGCGCACTTACGTTGGTTAAGGATTTGCTGATGTCCTTCACATCTATCTGCAGGATGTTTCCAATAAACGGGAGAGGAGTGGGACCAGGGGGGAGCTTCCCTCTCCCCGAGTTCTGTCTCCAGAGTGAGAGGAGAAGCAGACAGGAGACAGTGAGCACCAGGACTGTGACCAGATCCATGGTAGCCTTCTCTTCTCAAGGAGACACCCTTGAGCTTGCAGTCCAGAGCTTTTATAATGCTCACTGTGAACTCAACATGTGCCTCCGAGGCATAAGTGACCAATCAACAAGGAGCACTGTTATCTGTCTTCTGAGTGGACTCTGGCCTGTTGGAAAACACAGAAACTGCCCTTCACAATCCCGCTCCCACCCCCTACCACCAAGTTGTAGTAACTAGTCTGGACTTGGACTTGGCCCAGGTACTGTTGTTGTGCTTTTTTATTTGGTGGGGGCATGTTTCAATACCCTAGGTAGTTCCAGTTGCACCCACCCTGAAGCCTGAACTGAGGCGCAATGAAATAAGTATGTGTATCCATGTACACATCTGGGTGTGAATGAGTGTGTGTGCATATGCATGTGTGTAGAGGCCAGAGGTTGACTTCTGGTGTCTTCTTCAATTGCACCTTTTCTTTCTTCCTTCCTTCCTTTTTTTCGTTTTAGATCAGATTCTTCAGTGAACCTGGAGATCATTAACTCGGCCAGTAGTATAAGCTTCAGGGATCCTCTTGTCACTACCTCCACCCAGCCCTGAGGTTATAGACATGTTCCACAGAGCCTACCTTTCACACGGTGTTGAGGGAGCTTGCACAGTGGATACTTTACCAAATGAGTCATTTTTTTCAGGCAGAACCTGAAGTAAATTCTTTGTGCAAAACCATTCCAGCTTCTAGACTGGAAACCAGCTGGGAATTTAGGAGAGAATCCATTTGCTATCCCTAGTCTATAAAATACTATTTAGCTAGTGATGCTTCTCAAACTGAAAGTCTTATCCAAGATTTCAGCATGCTGTGCCAACTTGAGAGTTGCCTAAAGAGAAAATGCCTATCATAATTCAAATATCCTTGATTTGGGGGTCCTTTCCTCCGCTGTGTACTATCCTAGGCTGTCCACAAACCCAATATCCTACTGCCTCTGCCTCCTGTTTGCCCCGCCATTTGGAAAATGTGCACATTTTAACTGACACAACATGTACCAAGTAATGAGCTAAGTAAATGTATGCCTATTTTACCATTCAATGCCCTTTTAAAAACGCTTAGAGCAGGGATTTTTATTTCCAATTGTTTTTTTTAATGGATAAAGGAAGTCTGGGAGCATAGCAGACCTACTGATCTTTACTTCTTATATGGGATAACTCAGCTTTGAGATGAGATTTGTCGGCCATTGTCGTGTCCTATGGCTTACTCTGAGGCTATCCAGAACAACCCCCAACCTCTAATTATCCTGAATGTACAGCATCCTGATTTGGTTCCTAAAACAATAGACGTCACACTAAATAGAAACTCTTATTTGACTCAGATGTTCTCAGGGAAAAAACAAAAACTGAACAAGAGGTGAAGAAGGGAGAGTTATACAATGTTCTCCTAGTTATCTTTGAAGAGATTTTGACAGTTTAGTTCCCAGAGTTTTCACACCAATCATATTGCCTTGGATTCTTTCAATTACCTTTGCCTAAGGTAAAACTCTTTTTTTTTTTTATCCAGTGCTGAGGCAGCTGGGCCTTAGAGACTCACGCAGACTAAGGGTGGTAGATGCCCTGCACTTTGCAACCTTCTTCCCAGGCTTCGGTTCAGCTGGGTTCAACCATGAACCATGATTCCACATTCCATGACTCAGGCTGTGACTTTCACATTAACATGAGTTTAGTTAATAATTACAGCTCCTCTGTGTTAAAATGGGCGTCGGAAGATTACTATACAGCACTTATTGCTTGAGTGGATGCAGGGTATGGTGAATTCTTTATCCAAGGCAAAGAGAGGCAGCCAAATCTGACGTGATTCACATCACCCTATAACCTAATAGCTGCAAAGCACATACAGTCCTCTTTAGAGCAATCATGTTTTTCTTACATCCGTCCTTACCACAAGCCTTTACTATGTGGTTTGGACATTGAGCCTCTATAACTGTGAGCTAAAAGAAATTCTCTTTCCTTCCTAAGTAGCTGTTCTGTTTTCATTTCTGAGGCTGTGATAACATACCCTGGCCAAAAGCATCATCTTAGGAGAGAGGGGATTTATTTCAGCATACAGTTCCAGCTTACAGTTTATCCTGGTGAGTAAGTCAAGACAGGAACTTCAAACAGCTAGTCACATTCAGAGTCAAGAGCAGAGAGAGATGATGCGCACACTCTCGCTTGTGTGTGTTCAGCTGGTCATACTACACTAGCAGTCAAGAGCAGGGAGAGATGATGCACACACTCGCTTGACTCACTTGTGCATACTCACCTCGATCTCTCCACTCTTGCATGGTACAGAAACCCTGCCTGAGGATGGTGCCAACCACAGGGGACTGGATCTTCCTACATCAGTTAACTCAGTTTAAAACAGTCCCCTCACACTCTCTGAACATGGCGAACAATGAGGGCTGATGAGACACCAAGGACAATGGCAGGGGGTTTTGATCCTACTTAATGTGCTGGCTTTGTGGGAGCCTAGCCAGTTTGGATGTTCACCTTCCTAGATATGGACGGAGGGGGGAGGACCTAGGACTTAACACAGGACAGGGAACCCGGACTGCTCTGTGGACTGGAGAGGGAGGGGGAGAGGAGTGGGGGGAGGGGGAGAAGGGTGGGAGGAGGGGAAGGGAAATGGGAGGCTGGGAGGAGGTGGAAACTTGTTTTTTGTTTATGTTTTTTTTTCTTCTTTTCGCAATAAAAAAAAAAAAAAAAAAAAAAACAGTCCCCTCACAGACACGTCCACAGGCCGACCCCATGGACACAATCCTTCACTGAGACTCTCTTCCCAAATGATCCTAAGTTGTATCAAGTTAACAAAGCTAACCCCCACAGCAGCCTATATCAGGTAGTTCCTCTTAGTAATGAAAAAGAAATATTAATTCACTTTATTCTTATTCCACAATTTTTCTGTGATATTATTACTGACACTCATATATAATATAAAACTATTTTGAATACTGTTAATATATAGTTCCTATGCATTTTTGATATTATAAGTAGCATATGTGTTTAGCCTGTACTTATTAGTAAAATTGTTAAGTATGTATGCATTCACTCTAAATTTTTTCAAAGAATAATTCAAATGTTTGTCCTGATTTATGACTGTACTGTGAACACCAGTTATTACAATTTATTAATGCATGTAGTACAATATTTTAATTACTATTTTAACTATTCTGACAAAATATATCTCACTGAAGTTTTGTGATTTTTTTTAGTGATTTATTTATTTTAATAGCATTTGTGTTTTGCTCACATGTATATCTGTATGAGCTTGTCAGATCCCCTGGAACTAGAGTTACAGACAGTTGTGAGTTGCCATATGTGTGATGGGAATTGAACCCAAATCCTTTGGAAAAGCAGCAGTGTTTTTAACCACTGAGCCATCTCTCCAACCCTTCAATGAAGTTTTCATTTAAATTACCAAATAATATTGATGCTAAGCACATTTTCAAATGTCCTTCACCAATATCAACTTTTCTTATGAAAGACTATTTAATGTATAAATATAAGCTTTACTTTTTAATAATAATAAGTATACTAATAAATGCTCAGTATATAGAGAGAATTATTATGTTCAAAACCATGGAAAGCAAGCTACCAACTTATTTCTAAAAAATTATAATATTGTATTGTATATTTCTTAAAACTAAGGTGTTTTCCTACATAACTTTAGTGAAATCGTCATGAATAGGAAATAATTTTTGGCAATTCCTCATTCTTGTTGGTGTTCTACCAGTAGATCCCAAAGATATTTATCACATCCCACTGAAAACTCAGCTCAGAATCCATTATCATGTTACAAAGATTGTCACATACATGAGTTATAGCAATTTTTCCATAACTTCTATGACTTCGACATTCACTAACGGAATGTTCCAAGAGTTTATAAAATGCCCTTTGATTTGAGTTTATTTGATGTTTCTAAGTAATCAAATTGATTTTGAGTATCTCTGGTAGAAAGGTCACAAAAATCAGTTCTTTGTTTTTATAGATGACAAGCAATTTAGACCTATTTCGTTATAAATAATGGCTTCCATATGCTGGAAGGTGCTGTGTACACTCCTAAAGGGGAAAAGGAATCGACAGTCTTATCCAACTGAGACCCCTACAAGACACAGTGACAATCAGTCTGACAAGACATACCCAGTGGAGCAATAGTGGTACAAATATCATGAGAGTAACGACTTTCTGCTCAGATCCACAACCTGAAACCCTGTATCTGCTACTAATATTTGGAGAAGAACCTGGAGCTAGACATAGATACAGGGGAGAATCCACTATTATTATTATTATGCTAAGCAGATATAGAATTAAACTGACTCTTTTATATATTCTTTTTTGTTATTAATTAATCAATTCATATTGTTTTCTGAACCCAATCACAGTTTCCCACCCTCCATCCTCACCCACTCCCTCTTCCTTCCCTTCAGAAAAGTGACCTGGTTCCTCTTGTTCCCATGCCCACACTCCCATCCAGACCCTTCTCCCCATCCATCTGTGATGTCTATTTTCCTTTATATGAGATTCATGTGTTCCCCATTGAGCCTTCCTTGTTAGTTAGCTTCTTTGGGTCTGTGGATTATAGCATGGTTATCCTTTGCTTTAGACCTAATATCCTCTTATCAGTGAGCACATACCATGTGTGTCTCGATGGGTCTGAGTTACCTCTTTCAGGATGATCTTTTCTAGTTCCATCCATTTGCTGGCAAATTTCATGATGTCATTGTTTTTAATAGATGAGTAATCCTCCATAGTGCAAATGTACACATTTTCTTTATTCATTCTTCAGTTGAGGGACATCTAGGTTGTTTCCAGTTTCTGGCTATTATGAATAAAGCTGCTATGAACATAGTTGAGCTAGTGTCCTTGATGTATGGTAGAGCGTCCTTTGGGTATATTTCCAGGAGTGGGTCTTGGGTATATTCTGAGAAACCATTATATGGTGGCTGTATAAGTTTGCACTCCCATTAGCAACAGAAAATGTTCCCCTTGTTCCACATCCTTGCCTGTCAGTTGTGTAATTGATCTTTTTTTCTTTTCTTTTTTTTTAACATTCATTCATTTAATTAATTTTACATCCCAACCAACGTTCTCCCTTTCACCCATCTTCCCACCTCCCTTTTCCTCAGGCCCAGCCCATCCCCATCCACACCTCCCAACAGGTAAGGGCTCCTGTAGTAGTAGGAGGAGGGGGCTGCATCATGCCGCCTGGCTAGCTTAAACCCCAAAATAATCACACAGAAATTGTATTAATTAAATTACTGCCTGTCCCATTATTTCTAGCCTCTTATTAGCCAACTCTCACATCTTGATTTAACCCATTTCTAATAATCTGTGTAGCACCACGAGGTCGTGGCTTACTGGGAAAGATTCTAACCTATGTCCGTCTTGGGCCAGAGCTTCATGGTGTCTGCCTGACTCTGCTCTTCTTCCCAGTTCTGTCTTTCCCATCTACCTAAATTTCTGCCCTATCAAAAGGCCAAGGCAGTCTCTTTATTCAACCAATGAAAGCAACATATCCTATACCAGGCTCCCATAGGGAGTTGACATAGTTTGGCACATTAATTTGGGGCAGGATAAAGCCCCTCCCCTCTGTATTAAGTCTGAGTATGGCATCCCCTCCTAGGGAATGGGCTCTAACAAGCTAGCTCCTGTACCAGGGATAGATCCTGGTCCTACTACAAGAGGCCCCTCAGATAGCCCAAGCTTCACAACTCACTCCCCCTAGCTCGAACCCACGGGAGCTCCAAAGCTGTCCAATCAGAGTTCATGAGATACTAAATCATAAACAAGGACACTTTCTCAATAATATTCATAGGAACAATATTCATAATAACCAGAACCTGGAAACAACCTAGATGCTGCTCAACTGAATAATGGATAAAGAAAATGTGGTACATTTACATAATGGAGCATTACTCAATTGTGAAAAGCAATGACATCATGAAATTTGCAGGCAAGTGGATGGAACTAGGAAAAAAAAAACATCCTGAGTGAAGTAATCCAGACTCATAAAAACAAACATGGTATGTACTCACTCATAAGTGAATAGAAGATATAAAGCAAAGAAAAGGATATTCAGACTACAACCCACAGTTCCAAAGAAGCTAGAGCCTTCTTCCAGTAATTGATGGAACCAGATGCAAAGATCCACAAGCAAGCCCTGTAGTAGTACCAAAGAGTTCCACAATAGCCTGGAATGGAGTATAACAAAGGTTTATTTATTCAGAGATAAACTTACAGTAAGGGTAACAATTCGCAGTCCTCTACATGCAATGGGAACTGGGAACCAAATCCCACAGAAAAGGGGAACACACAAGCTTTTCATCAGCACTTAAAATACATGAGACCATGCCCAATGTGGGCCAGTATCTTAAAGGTTATTGGCTGAAAGTGTTCCCACAACAAAGCACAAGGCTGAACTCTGGGAGTCCAGTGAAAGACAGGGAAGAGGGAATACATGAACAAGTGAGAGCAAGATCATGATGAAGAAATCTATAGAGACAGTTGAACCAAGCTTGTGTAATTGATCTTAGCCATTCTGACTGGTATAAGATGGAATCTCAAAGTCATTTAGATTTGCATCTCCCTGATGACTAAAAATGTTGAAAATTCTTTAGTTATTTCTCAGTCATTTGAGATTCCTCTGTTGAGAATTCTTTTTTTTCTTTTTTTTAATTAATTTATTTATTTATTAAAGATTTCTGCCTCCTCCCCACCACCGCCTCCCATTTCCCTCCTCCTCCCCCGATCAAGTCCCCCTCCCTCATCAGCTCGAAGAGCAATCAGGGTTCCCTGACCTGTGGGAAGTCCGGACCACCCACCTCCATCCAGGTCTAGTAAGGTGAGCATCCAAACTGTCTAGGCTCCCCCAAAGCCAGTACATGCAGTAGGATCAAAAACCCATTGCCATTGTTTGTTTAGATCTGTACCCCATTTTTTAAATTGGATTGTTTGTTTTTTTAATCTCTAATTTATTGAATTCTTTATATGTTTTGGAAATCAACCCTGTGTCAGATATAGGGTTGGTGAGGATCTTTTTCTATTCTGTAGGCTGTCATTTTGTCATTTTGACAGTGTCCTTTGCCTTACAGAAGCTTTTCAGTTTTATGAGGTCCCATTTATTAATTGTTGATCTTAGTGCCTGTATGATTGGAGTTCTGTTCAAGAAGTTGTCTCTTATGCCAACATCTTCAAGTATATTACCCACTTTCTCTTATATAAGATTTTCTGTATCTGGTTTTATGTTGAGGTTTTTGATCCAATTGGATTTGACTTCTGTACAGGGTGACAGATATGGATCTATGTTCTTCTACATGGTGACATCCAGTTAAACCATCACCATTTATTGAAGATACTTTCTTTTTTCCAGTGTATGTTTCTGGCTTCTTTATCAAAAATCATGTGTCCATAGGTATGTGGATTTACATCTGGATCTTCAATTCAGTTCCACTGATCAACCCTGTTGATCAATCTGTTTTATGCCAATACTATGAAGTTTTTATTACTTCAGCTCTATAGTACAACTTGAAATCAGGGATGGTGATACTTCCAGAAGTTCCTTTATTGTGCAGGATTGTTTTAGCTAACTTTGGGTTTTTTTTTAAATTTCCATTGAAGTTGAGTATTATTCTTTGAAGTTCTTTAAAGAATTGTGTTAGAATTTTGATGGGAATTGCATTGAGTCTATAGATTGTTTTTGTTAAAAATAACCATTTTAATACGTTAATCCTACCAACCATGAGCATGGGAGATCCCTCGATCTTCTGATATATTCTTCAATTTCTTTACACAAAGACTTGAAACTCTGGTGATACATGTCTTTCACTTGCTTGGTTAGAGTTACACTAAGATATTTTATATTATTTGTGGCTCTTGTGAAGGATGTTGTTTCCCTAATTTATTTCTCAGCTCAATTACTATTTGTATATACAAAGACTACTGTTTTTTTTTAGTTTATTTTGTATCTAGCCACTTCATTAAAGTGTATATCAACTGTAGAAGTTTCCTGATAGAACTTTGGAGTATCTTATTATATCATCTGCAAATAGTGATATTTTGACTTCTTCCTTTCTAATTTGTATCCTCTTGATCTCCTTTGGTTGACTTATTGTTCTAGCTAAAACTTCAAGTACTATATTGAATAAATATGTAGAGAGTGGACAGCCTTGTCTTGTCCCTGATTTAAGTGGAACTGCTTTAAATTTCTATCCATTTAATTTGATGTTAACTGTTGACCTGTTGTATACTGTCTTTGTTTGGGTATATTCCTTGCATCACTGAACTCTCCAAGACTTTTATCATGAAGAGGTATTGAATTTTGTCAAAGGCATCTAATGAGATGATTATGTGGTTTATTCTTTCAGTTTGTTTATGTTATAGGTTACGTTGACAGTGTTTCATATGTTGAATCATCCCTGTATCACTGGGATGAAGCCTATTTGATCATGGTAGATGTTCTTTTTATGTGTTCTTAGATTTGGTTTGTGAACTTTGGACGTTGCTTACAATGCACTTCCTGTTTACTTAGGTAATATTATAACCATTTTGGGATCTTTGATAGAGTTGAAGACTAGATAGTTATAATTATAGTTTTCCTTATTTATGATTAAATGAATTAAATATAAAACTTTAGATTCACAAAGGTAGGATAAATAATAGATTTTCCTTAATTTGCCAAATCTAAATAGACTAAATATTGTGACTATAATTCTTGCTTAATAACTGTTACATATATGTAATTTTACTATGTTAAAGTTAATGCTTTCTTTTTTAATTAGACAGAAAAGGGGAGATGATGTGGGATGTCCTTTTGTACATGTGTTGCTTTTATTGGTTGGTGAATAAAGCCATTTTGGCCAATGTCTTAGCAGAGTAAAGCTGGGGGAAATCCAAACAGAGATATAGAGAAAGAGTAAACAGAGATGCCATGTAGCTGCTGAAGGAGAAAGATGACAGAACATTACTGGTAATCCACAGCCTTGTGACAATACATAGATTAATATAAATGGACTAATTTAAGATGTAAGTGCTAGCTCTTAATATGCCTGAGCCATTGGCCAAACCATATTGTAATTAACAGAGTTTCTATGTGATTATTTGGATCTGGGCATCCTGGAAATGAAAGTGCAGTCTCTGTCTACACCTGTTTTTATAACATAGGTTCTGGGTATCAAATCTGATTCTTCATGCTTCCACAGCTTCCATACTTTATCAATTGAGCCATCTCCTTAGACAAACATGTAGAACATTGAATTGACAAGACAGACACATTAATTGCTATTTAACTCTAAGTTGGAAACAGAGAGCAAAAACAATACTTACTATCCCTACTTTGTATTCACAGTAAACACCAAAGCAGGGGCATTCGCTCTAATAACTAGTATTTACTCTCCCTGTGACTGATACTCTAAATTATTCCCAATACCAGAAACTGTTCTCAGGTTTGGTTTCTCTTGTCCAAATCCAAATGTCTAGTAACAGCCAAGAAAGTATTTCTGTCCTTTTCTTCTTGGTCCCTTTCTTTGTAAATCTTAATGAGAACAAATAGGGCCTCTTGAAACTTTATTTTCTTTACTTCTTCCTTGCATTATGCTCAAATAAAAGAGTGTCTGAGAACTATCCCAAGAAATTAGTTTTTATTCAGCACATGCAGGGGACAGATGGCTCTGGATTGTCATAAAGATTTTGCTGTTTTACAATAAAACTCATATCATCAGCAGTAACTGAATCATGAATATTAGTGGTCACTACATAAGCATTGCAGGGAAGTGCCGTGTAATATAGGAGACGACAGCACTGAACTGTGTATTAACCCAGGGAACTCTGCTTACTGAGCTTCACTGGACCTCAAGGGAATGGGGAAATGTGAGAGAAAACAGCTATATTACCAGGAGTGAAATGAACAGTACCCTGCAGAAGTTGCAAGTTGACAGCATAAGGAGGCTGCCCTTTACACAGGAATAAAACAAGCCTGGTACGAAGGGGGCACATGACCAAATCCACTGGTAATTGGTGTGGTATCAATATCCTTTACATCAGTCAGAGGCTTCAGGTTAAAATTCTGTAAGATGGTGGTGAAGAACAAAAAGAGCTCCATGCGAGCCAGGCCTTCTCCGGCACACATCCGCTTTCCTGAAGACAGCAAAAACAGATTTGTTACTGAATTACTGTGCTGTGAATTGACATGAAGAGTATGAAGTAAATAGCCAATGAGTTGTTAGGTGTGTGGATAGAAGACACACACCACATTCTTAGCTCCAGACACAGCTCCCTTCACCCATCTCCGACACCATGAAGTTGAAAACTTAAAGCTGCCCCATTTGACTGAGCAATGCTCTGATGCTTCCCCAAGGACCTATGACCTTTCCTCTTTATGTTCCTTGTGATCTCAATAGGATCGTATCCTCTGTGGGTTTCCTTATTATATGCATATTCCATTTAGCTGGGATTGCTGAAATCCCATGCTTTCTTATCTTTTGTCTCCCTACCAAAATGAGTTTCTTAAGAAAAAGGGTGAGGGGCTTTGTATACACATCTCAATTTACACACTTTCAAGACAAACCTAAGAATCAAACCCTATATGCCCAAGACTCAGCACAAATAATGGAGCACTGAGATTAAACATCCAAGGTGAAGGATCATAAGTAAAGTAAAATCTAAGGGTTTGAGAGTCACTGCCTGCATTTACTCAACAGGTTCTGACTTCTTGCATCTACAGAAAATGTTCGTCCCTCTGTACTTCATTTCCCTGCCTCCTCTTCTTTTCTTACTTCGTTGCTCCCTACAAGTCAGCCAACTTTCCTCTTTGGGTATAAAAGAGCAAGATCTAAGTAACTTCCCCTCTGACACCTCTCACAACACTAGTCGAGCTGGATTACAGTGCCTTGTTGACTCACCTGCTTCCTTCACTCAGGAGTGAGTCTCTTTCAGAGCGTGAGCATGTTCTAATCTCTAGGGCACTTGCATTCCCAGAGTGAAGGATGCCACAGAGGAGATACTCAAAATGTGGACTACTTAGATATCTCTCTCATGGCAGATGAGGAAAAGTCTAAATTATATCAACTTCCAAGAGAAGCTTTTGGGAAACTGGGGGTTATATCCAGTGGCCAAGTTTGATCAATAAATACACTTTGCTATCTTAACTTGGATAAAACTGTGCTAAACTCTGCAATGTTCACTGATATGTCCCAATAAGGAGGAATTATTATGTGTAAAGAAAATACACAGTAATTAAAGTTGTGCTCTTTATAACATACAAAGAGCAAATCTACCAGTCCCAGAGAAGTCACTATTGCACCTGGTCTTAAAATTCCATTATGTCCTCCAAAGTACAAATGGAAGTGACTTTCTGTTACCTGTTGAGAAAGGCACAAAGTAATCACTCTTCTTAAAGTTGCCACTCTCATCCAGAAAGTGACCAGGGTCAAACTTCTCTGGATTAGGAAACTCTTTGTCATCATATAGCACCGATGTCAGTGACGTTATTACAGTGGTACCCTGAAAATAGCCAACAGACATAATGAAATTTAGATGGGAAGAAGTGACAGAACTCACCTAGATCAATCTGTTTGACTTATGGATAAGATACTGTGTCCAAATCAGAGCAGTGACATTTACACACAGACCAAAGAAGAAGAGAGATGAGTTGACACTAGTCCTCGGTTAGGGGTGAACTTCATGCCCACCTCCCCTCTCCATGTTCTGGCTTAAGTGTGTATAGGTCTCACACATGCCGTCACAACTGCTGTGAGTTCATAGGTATAACTGCCTACTGATGCCCAGAAAACACTGTTTCTTTGTAGTTATCTACCCCTTTGGTTCTTACAAACTTTCTGCCCTCTCTTCCAAAACTATCCTTTAGCCTTGAAAGAAAGAGGTGATAGAGATATCCCATTTGTGACAGGGCATTCTGAGATCTCTTGATATTACTAAAAAATATAATCTTAAACTGTGTGGAGGATAATATTAGTATATTGATAATTTCTTCAGTGTGAGGGTGTTTATCCATTTGTAGCAGAAAGTCTTCAGTATTGGAAGATACACATTAAAGTATTTAGGTTGAAGTGTGATAGATTTAATAGACAAACATATAGTTCTAAACACATCTTTATACCCTATACACATGTATTATACAAAAACACAGTCATATATCCACTTAAGTGTTAATTGAGTATATCTACTCTCCTAGTTACTTGAGCTATCAACTTCCGCAGCCCAGAGTTATAAGAGGGAACTTGAACTGAGGTATGTCTGTGGGGCACTGTCTTGATTGATGATTGACATGAAAGGGCCCAGCCCACTGTGAGTGGTGTCATAAAATGAACCTGGGTTATATAATAAAGCTTTCTGGACAACAGCAAGGGAAAGCATGCCAGTAAGCAGCATTCCTCCATGGCTTCTGCTTCAAGTTCCTGCCCTGCCAGACTGATTGCCCTGCTAGTTTTCCTGACCTGACTTTCCTCAGTGATGGACTATGACCTATAAGATTAAGTAAACTCTTTCCTCCCTAAGTTGCCTTTAGACACAGTGCTTGTCACGGCAACAAAAATCAAGCTAGTAAGGTTTAATTAAAAGTTGGAAACTCCATGTTTCCAAGTTTATGAAATTTAAGAGCTATATGCCTTTCTTTTAAAACACTTTTGCATATTACTACTTTAAATATCCCCATATATTTGCAACCATAGTAGAAACCAATGTGTGAATGGGAACTTCACCAACAGTAAGTGGCAGAGAGAACCAAGCTTACCTTGGGGATGAGGTAGTTTCTGAATTTAACATCACAGGTCACTGAATGAGGCAGGTTCGTGGGGATGAGGTCAATATACCTCTGGATCTCATGCACTACAGCATCGGTATAGGGCATGTGGCTCCTGTCCCCCATGCAGGGGCTCCTGTTTCTGCCAACCACGTGCTCTATCTCTTCCTGGACTTTAGCTGGTAAGACAGGGTGGGAAATGAAGTGATGGGAGAAAAGTGGTACAACCACGGCAGCAAGTCAGTGCTCCATGGAGTACAATGAAGGGGCCTCAACGGCATCACAGGCCCTAAGCACAGCTAGACTTGTAATACCACAGTACACTGTAACTACCTAAAACCCAGGCATTCATTAAGTAGATATGCTTCTACATATTATCATACAGGATAATCAATGCACATAAGAATGCTTAAACGCTTCACTATGTACATAGATATATTACAAGAAACTACTATCCCGGTAAGTTCAAAATCCGGAAAATAAGAATTCGTGTCATATGAAATTAACATATGGTAGGAGTTGAATTCTCCTGAAGACGGGGTGGAAGAGCCGCGTGTGCATACGTACACACCTGCTTATCTGCAAACTCCCAGTGGTTCTCTGTCTTTCCTTCGTATCCCAAAGACACTCACTATAAACATTCTTTGTTTTCTTACTTACTTATTTATTTTGTATACAATGTTCTGTCTGAGTCCATGCCAGAAGAGGGCACCAGATCTCATTACAGATGGTTGTGAGCCACCATGTGGTTGCTAGGAATTGAACTCAGGACCTCTGGAAGAACAGCCAGTGCTCTGAGCCATTTCTCTAGTCCTTCAAAATATTCTTTAAGTGTCTTGGGCAATTTATGTTCACATTTAAATTTCTATTTTTTACTGTACTATTTACAAGCAATTTCCTTTTAAAAGAGATGAGGAATCAGATATTAATCACCATCTCATACAAAATAGATAACAGACTCTCTTTCTTTCTTCCTTCCCCCCCCCCCCCTCTCTCTCTCTCCTCTCTCTCTCTCTCTCTCTCTCTCTCTCCCTCTCTCTCTCTCTCTCCCCCCCCCTCTCTCTCTCTCACACACACACACACACACACATTTCCACACTTCTCTCTCCTGCACTACACTTATGATTTTTATTATATATGCACTAATTCTTATAACAATCAGTGTGTCTTCATGAATATTCTCACAGGTAAGGGAGCTGTAGTTGTACTATATGTGTTATATGCTCTTGAGCATAAAAGAGCCTATTTAAATTCCTAACACTGGATGCTAACTTTGAATTATTACAAATGTTTAAATATGTTTTGAACCCTAGAAATAATTTTTATTTATTAGAATTCATTAAATTGTCACCCCTGTCTCTCCTCTAAGACTCCTCATGCACACACAATGTAGTGTCCATCCTGAAGTCAGAATGGGAAGCGTTGTTATGTTGCTATGAGAAATCCTGGCACTGACCCTGAATCCCTCTCCCACATGTGTCAGAACCGGTATGATCCCATCCAACAAGGCTGCTCAACTGAGCTAGCAAATGGCAGTGAGACACTCTCCAGCCTCCAAAACTGTGAGCTAAATAGAATTTTCTTCATAAAATATCTAGTCTCCATTATTTCATATATTGAAAGAAAATACTCTATGACACATGCCATACCCTTCTATCCTTCAGGAAATCAATGTCCCAACCTACACCAGTTGGTGACACATATGCCTTGCTACAGGCACCTCCCATCAAAGGCAGACACCTTATCAGAGTAAGGTCTCTAAAATCAGAGTTTCTGCCACTGTTCTTGATGTCTTGTTTCTCTCAGCCACTCTCTCCTATTATGAAAACTTATTCTTATTTCTTCCTCATATGTACATGTTACAGCTAGCAACAGAGCAATTTCAATAATGGTGTTTCTCTAAGAGGTTACGGGTTTCTCTGGTTCCCTGTCTATAGTCATACCTGTGACATCTGTGTGCTTCATCAGTAGCAGGAGTCCATACCTCAAAGTGGTACTTGTTGTTTCTGTTCCGGCTCCAAACATGTCAGTTACAGTCGCCACCAAGTTTTCTATGGTAAACTCAGACTTTGGATTGTGCTTTTCCTAGGATTTATGTGGATATTATTTTGGTTTGCTGGCATACTTAATTGTAGTGAATCAAAATTAACTCAGGTTGTTCTTAAGATAAGAAACAAACAATAACAAGTCTAATAGTAAAGCTACAATACCAGACAGGACAGCAGAAAATGTGATTAGGTTGCCCACTCTTTATTTCTCATTCTCCAAATGGGTAAAATTGTGAATTTTCAATGTCTCATCACAAAGAAATGATACTTAAGTGAGGTAATGGATATGCAAATTGGCCTGATTTGATGATTTAATTATATACACGTATGTATAGACATATAGATCAAGGAACCACATTGTATCCAAATACATATTATATGCTTAAAGCAATGTAGTTAGTTTTCCACAACTTTTTTGACAACACACCAAGAAAAAAACAACTTATAAGAAGAAAGATTCACTGCTGTTCATGGTTCAGTTGTTTTGTCTTTGGCACTACTTTGATGGGGGAGAGTCTTTTGGCTTGTGTGAATTTCATTGGTTAAATAAAGAGACTGCCTTGGCCCTTTAATAAAACAGAAAATTAGGTAGGCGGAGTAAACAGAACAGAATTCTGGGAGAAAAAAGCTAAATCAAGGAGTCGCCATGGTTCTCCCACTCCAGACAGACGCAGGTTAAGATCTTCCCTGGTAAGCCACCTCGTGGGCTACACAGATTATTAGAAATGGGTTAGATCAATATGTAAGAGCTAACCAATAAGAGGCTGGAACTAATGGGCCAAGCAGTGTTTAAAAAAATACAGTTTCCATATAATTATTTCGGGGATAAAGCTAGCTGTGCGGGCAACCGGATGGCGGGAAGCAGCCCTGCCACTCTTATTACAACACTACTTGGCCTGGGACACTGGGCATACTGGGAGACAGAACATAAGGGCAAAGAGAAATACAGTAGAACAAAGCTGCTCAGCTCTCATGGCTAGGAAGCAAAGAGAAGAGACAAGGGCATCAAACCGAGGAAACAGTTCAATGACCTAACTTCCTCCAGCTAGGCAGTACCACCTAAAGCAGTGGTTCTCAACCTCACAATTCCTTTGAAGAGCTTATATCTTCAAAAATATTTACATTAAGATTCATAACAGTGGGGCTGCAGAGATGGCTCAGTGGTTACGAGTACTGACTGCTCTTCCAGAGGACCTGAGTTCAATTCCTAGCACCCACATGGCAGTTCACAACTGTAACTCCAGTTCCAGGGGACCTGACACCCTTAGCAAACCACCAATGTACATAAAATTAAAATAAATAATTTTTAAAAAAGATTTATAGCAGTAGCATGTTTACAGCTATGAAGTGGCAATGAAAATAATTATATGGCTGGCGGTCATTGCAACATGAGAACTGTATAAAGGGGCTGCAGCATTAGGAAGGTTGAGAGCCACCTTCAGAAGGTTCTGTTACCTTCCATAAGCATCTTCATCTGGGAAGCAGGTCTCTAGCACATGGCTCTTGGATTTACAGAAGTAGAGACAGGTGTGGAAGAGTAGCCTCAGAGAATAAAGGAGCATAACGCTGCTGATTAGGGCCACTGGGAGGCTGGGCCCACCACCTCAGGTCACTCTCTGCCTGGCCTCACCACTGAAGAGGGAGTCCTCAGGGTTGCAAATCTGGGGTACCTAAGGGGCTTCAGGAACCGAGGGCAGGGTGGTGTGCAGAGGCCTGGAGCTTGGGCAGGTCCTACCCACAGACACAGCCCAACCACATGATCACCATGACTCTGAGCAACAAGATATCGAAGATGAAGAATGGTTCATTTCCTGGATTGTCTCTTCAAAAGATTTCTGAGGTCTATGCTGCCCCCAGAAACCATGTTGATATCTATGATCCAAGCAGTCACTGTAAACCATGCTGATGTCCACAATCCCTGCTGCTGCCTGCTGCTCTGAGCGAGTTAGCTTTTGCAGTGGTATCAATGTCTGTAGACTCATAACTGAGAATAAGAAACTTTGACAGCTTCTGTGACAACCTTCCCCCTCCATCCCTCCACCCCTAAAAAAAGAAATAGTCCAGAGAGGAAGCTATTGAGGAGAGCCCTTTAAAATTGTGATGGAGATGTTGAAGTGTAGCTCTTCACACTTGATGGCTTCTGATGGAGGAGGGTCATCTGTCTTATCTGTTGCTTTTATTGGTTAATTAATAAAGAAACTACATGGCCTTTGATAGGCCAGCCCTTAGGTGGGTGGAGTAGACAGACAGAATGCTGGGATAAAGAAGCTGAGTCAGGCAGTCGCCATGATTCTCCCACCCGACACAGACACAGGTTAAGATCTTTCCTGGTAAGCCACACCTCGTGGTGCTACACAGCATATTAAAAATGGGTTAATCGAGATGTGAGAGTTAGCCAATAAGAGGCTAAAACTAATGGGCCAGGCAGTGTTCAAAAGAATACAGTTTCTGTGTAATTATTTCACGGGTAAAGCTAGCCGGGTGGCAGGAAGCGCCCCGCAGCTCCTATTACAGGCTTCTACTGGAGCAGGGAGGACTCAGTTTTCTTTAAGGGTCTGGGCACTGGGAGTTTGATCATGCTCCACTGAGCACATGGACAACACGATTGGACTTGGTGATTTGTTTGCTTTTTTTTATTTTTTTTCTGGTGGGGAGGCACAAGAGTGGAAGGTTGAACCTGGGAGGAATGGGAAGCGAGTGTGATCTGGGAGCATTGTATGAAAATCCCGAATAATTAATAAAAATGTTATGTTAGGGAAAAAAATCAGAATGTCAGTTTGGTGAAAGGAACTGATAAATTTGCATTCATGAGTGAGCTTTACTGAGAGGGCCTATCAGCTGGTTGCTGACACTTCATGCAGGTCCAAAGAGCAACACAGTTTATGGAGTTCACCTCAGTTCACAGAGGTGAAGTCATTGCGTTACAGAGACCTAAGAGTTCAGCCTACCCCAGGCTAAGTGTGCAGTCTTCACAGCATTATACAAGCCCATCTCCATGATAATAACAACTCTCCCCTACCACCAGACAAGGTGTAGATCAAGAGTAATTTGTTTCTTCCTACCATCAGTCTCTTCTAATTATTTAGCTTTTTCTGCTCTTTGCCTCACCTCAGTTCAAGGAGTACACTTATACATACACATGCTATTATTATATCTATATTATGCTTCTCACCCAGTTTCTGAACTCCTCCACCATTATTCTTTGATATATATAACATTTTTTAAAATATTTATTTATTTACTTATTATGTATACAATATTTTGTCTGCAGACCAGAAGAGGGCACCAGACTTCATTACAGATGGTTGTGAGCCACCATGTGGTTGCCGGGAATTGAACTCAGGACCTTTGGAAGAGCAGGCAATGCTCTTAACCACTGAGCCATCTTTCCAGCCCCCAAAATGTGTAGTCCAGACTGGCCTCGAACATTTTATTAATTTTTTATTCAGTCATATAATGCGCTTTGATCTAATTTACCCCCTCTCTTCCTCCTAATTCCTTCCAGATCTGACTCCCGTCTCTCCGTCCCCTCTCAACTTCCTGTCTTCTTTTTATTGTTGTTTTTAAAAACCCATAGAGTACAGTTTGTGCTGGCCACATACACATGGGTGCATTCTGGGCTTGCCAGGGATCACATCCTTAATCTTTCCCAACTCCATCTTTCCCAGAAGCTATCAATAAGTCTTCAGCTAAGAGTGCGGACTGAATTGATCTTGTAGAGATTTTGGGTGGGCACCCACAGTAGTTGTGAGCTAATAAGTGTGTCAATCCTGTCCTATACTGAAGATATTGTTTTGGTCCAAGCCTCCCTGATCTCTGACCTTTAGAATCTTTCCACCTCACTTCTACAATGGTTCCTGAACTTTCCCTACCATGATTCTAATTGCACATATCAATATTTTTCTCTCGGTTAAACTTATCAAAACACAGACTAGGTCTTATTACTGAACATTCCCACATAGCTACTGCTAGTTGCAGAATCTATGGCATCAACTAAACCAAAGCCTATAGGACTCTGATAATATAAGATGGACACTGAGGGTTTATTTTTGAATCTACACTTCTATAATCCAGACTTGTATCAAGCTAAAGTGCACACAGATGATAAATCTCAGTGCTCCTCTTCAGTATCAGTGCTTATCATATATATCAGTCTGTGGAGTTCACAAGAAATTTACCCTAAGTATTATCGGTGTTAGACTCTAGTTCAGGATCATATATACAGTATCAAAGCTTCCCACACCAGTAGGTAGGTTTGTAGAGTGCTTGAAAACATTTCCACATCCTTATTTGGAGAGAATTATTTCCAGCTATGTGGTAGCCCACAAGTGATTCAGTTTTCATCTGGAGTCCATTCTGACTTATAAGTCATTTCAGTTCAAGCTTGCTTGCTCCGGTCTCCTTAAAAGCTGTAAGAATGTTCTGATTAAGTCCATGGGAAAGAGCACTTTGCCCATGAGAAAGAACATACTGCCTAGTAGAATTCATACTGCTGACACCAAGCCTAAGGCACATCAAGATAGAAATTGAAACTGCTTGCAAGCAGCAGGCACATGGTAGATAGGAAATTGCTTGCACAAGGACAGTAATAGCCTTGTGGTTTTAGATACTGTCTATCTATGTTATTCTTTGTTCTGCTTTTGTTTATAAGAAGACTTTGAAATAAACCCTGGGCTGTTTGGTATTAACCAATAGACCTCCAAATCTTTCCTGCGTCACAACAGCTTCCGGGTTCCCTAATTGACTCATCGGCAGGCTCCGACACAGCTGTGTTCAACTATGGTTCCCTACCCCATCTCTTTACCTTATCTCTTCATTATGCCCATGTGAATCCTCTCCCCTGTTCCTCCTTGAAAATCTGTATCAACCCTCAGGTCATTCAGGAAACGTGCCCAGAAAGCTTCTTCTCATTCTCATAAGTGCTTTCTTCCCAGTCTCCCACACAGGCCCATACAACCACTTTTATTTCAATGCTGGGTATTTTAATTACCTGACTTGTTTGTGTTTCTACTTCACCGGATGTGTATGCTCTCTTTCCTCAGACAGAGTGTGATTCCCTAAAAGCGTTGCCCATGTGTTCTAGTAATTTAACAATTTAGTTTTAAGTCCTCCAGGATTGCTAGTCCAGTTTCATGCACACGGCAGGTAATTAAAGAGTTTACCAATTGCTTCTTGCCTGAACAGTTATATGTTCTGAATAATTACAGAACTGATGAACAAATCGCAAAATGCAAGCCAACAAATAACATTTTACCTGTTCCATTTTGATCAAGAAACAATCAATGAAGTCCCTTGGATTGGCCATATCCAGTGTTTTTTCATGTTCTTTCACTTTCTCCAAAACATAATTTTTTACATAGAAGAAATTTTTAAGTACTTGGTTATGACTTCCAGGTAAATAATCAATAATAGCAGGGAAAGTATTGCACACCTTGAAGATTAAGAAACATTAAATACAATTAAAGACATGAGTACCATAACCCTGGTCAAAAACTTGGGTGGCATTACCAAACACTAGGTGGAGCTAGGGGAACCCCTCATAAGAGTGGGAGGAAGGATTGTAAGAACCAAAGGGTCCAGGACACCAAGAGAATGTGGCCACAGAATTAACTAAGTAAGGCTCAAAGGGGCTCACAGAGACTAAAGCAACAATCATGGAGTCTGTATGGGTCTGAGCAGATCTTCTGCAAATATATGTTCTTGTGGGACTCCCAACAGTAAGAGTGGGGGTGCTCTTGCCTGCTCTTGGGACCCTTTTCCTCCTACTGGGTTGCCTCATCCAGCCTTGTTGTGAGAGTTTGTTGCTAGACTTATGTTCAGTTGATATTCCTGAGAGGCCTGCTCTTTTCTGAAGGGAAACAGAGGAAGAGTAAATCTGGGGAAGAGGCCAGACAGTGGAGAAGAACTGGGAGGAGTGGAGGGAGAGAAATTGCAATCAAAATGCAATCTATAAGAGAATAATAAAAAAAAAAACTAGGGTGAACTTGAGGAGAAACATTTCAGTGCACATGACTGGACAAAAAGAAGCATTGATAGAGGCTGCACTAAATTGATCATATGACCAGACATGATAAGCATCTCCAATATCCAAGCCAATAATGTTTACATTACTAGTCCACTCTCTCTTTTTTACCTACAACTGTGAGATACAGGAAGGCCCATGGCTCACCTGCGTGAGGTAAACTCAAGAGGTCAAGGAAGTTCAGTCAAGTTCAAACAGACCAGCGTCACTCCCTGATACTTCTACCAGTAACACTGGCCTCAGGAATAAAATCATGCTGTATAACTGGGAAGGGCTCAGAGATATCATGAAACTCAACTCCACATTTTATGAGCAAATGTTTGCACACACAGCCATGGTCAGATGACTCCTATAAAATCAGAGTGATGCCAACTTGATAGATGGTGATGCTATTGAACATGACAGCCCAACAGAGGGCTATGTTTTAGACACTCCAAATGCTGAGTATCTTAAATAACCTGACTTTCATTACTTTCTCAGCTAGAGTTCCAGCTGCAGCTGGCCTCTGAGTCTCTGGTTTGGAACCCCGATTACTCAGAATTTCCTGGCAGCATCTGCTCCCATTTTCTGTCTTTGATATCCTCAATTAGGAAATAACTACCAAATAATGGGATGAAGATGACTCTAATTTTCAATTGGTAGGCAAGCCCGTGGATGGCAGAAGATTCTCAACAAGTCCTTAGACAGTCACTGAGAGCCTGAGCATGTCTCTGTCACTACCGAAATGCTGCCTGCACTCTGTGGTTGGGTAGATGGGGCTTGACTTGCAGCATCTGTCTTCCATTCTGAAGAATAAAGGATGTCTCTTTCGGAGACGTTCACGGTATCCTGAGAGGACGGTGATGTGGAAACACTCTCTTTGTGGGTCAGCAGGACCCATCCTTCCACACAAATAGACATACACACATGCACGTGCACACACACATGCACGCGCACACACACATGCACAGAAAAAAAAATCAAAACTGTCTGAGACGACTTTGTTAGAATAATGGAAAAAAGTCATGTTTTTATAAACTAATGATAAGTTGAGGGTTTTTAATGGCTGGGATAGAAAAGCTTTGCTTTGCCCTTGTTTTACCTCTGCCATGTCTTCATGGTATTCTTGACAAGAGCCCTGTTCCCAGAGTGTGGAACTATGGCCCTTGGTTCCAGGGTGGGGAGGGGGCAGGGGGAATTGTTTTTCTGTTTTAACCCAAAGGAGGGAGGGGAAGAGGAGCTGGAGAACTGGGCTCAGCATGTGTGTTTGTTTCATCTAACACAGAACTCCTTAGGGTGGAAAAGTTGTAAAGACTATCAAAAAACCTTATAATGCCACTAGGCAACACAGGGCCACCTGGAGCAAAGAACGTAATGAAAGCTCCTGGCAGAACACTGAGACCATGGGAAGAGGGCTAGAAAGAGAGTATCTTTGGGAAATCAGGTCACTCGAAAGCATCCACATATATTGATGTTTTCAGAACGCCAGGGCACGCCCACAACAAGGGCAAGCTAGGAAAAGTCCAGGAAAAGAACCCCAAGCTTTTCCTTCTGCCAGTTCCTGAGCTCTGTCTGGTGGGATTTCTCCTCCCTATCTCTTCTATTCTTCATTCCTACTTCTCATCTTTGGCTTTCTTCCTTACTTCATTTTGTATCTCTACCCTATAGCCTCCTCCCTTCCTTCTCTAATTCATCTTTTTCTCACCTTCTTCTTCATCTAGAACTCTCACAGCCAAGTAACTTCTGTCAGAAACTAAAGAACAGAGGCTTTGGAGGAGAAAGAACACAAGCTTTACAGAAACAGCTTAGAGAAGCTACTAAGCAAACACTTTCTGTCTGCAGAACACAAAAAGCACAAAGAAAATATTAAAAACCTATAGCACCAATAGTTGGGGATGTGGCTCAGCAGTAAGGAGAACAATGCTCATGTTGAAGGACTGGAGTTGGATTTCCAGAACCTACATGCGGCAGCTCAGAACCACCCATAACTCCCGTTCTGCAGGTACCTGTACCCCCCCACCCACATGGGGCACACACGCACGTGCACACACACACACAGAGCACACACAGAGCTGAAGAATATGTTTTCAAAAAAGAAAGAACTGCACATCACATCTCTAAATTGTCCAATCTAGAAATCTTCATGCCACAACTCAGTCCCTATCATTCTGTGGACTTCACAGAGAAAAGAGTCCAGATGGTTCCTTAGGAAGAAGTCTTTTGATCTCACCTGTATCCATGGGGTGCTCATGAGTCTGAGATTTTCATTAAATTTTTCCATCAAGTTAAGAAAACTCTGATCTTTATAATCAAAGCGTTTCTGAAAAATAATGGAGCAGATGACATTGCAGGGAGCACAGCCCAGGATGAAGGTGGGGTCACAGGGTGCTCCTGGTGATTGGGAGATATTAAAAATAACTGTTAATACATGACCATAAAAGACAAGATAATTTTAGAAACTCAAAGTTAACAAGTTCCTACAAATTCTCTACCAGGTAGAACTGCAACATACAGAAAACCAACACTCTGTTTTGCTCAGACCTGACTTAGTAATTCCTTCTAACCTTGTTTCAGGATGGCTATCCAAATACTATGTTAATGTCCACTGCCTTTATTTACATATCTGGCCCAAGTGACTTCTTTTGCAAGCAAAAGAAGAATGATATGAAAGAGATACATTTTAAAATAAGTATTAAAATACACCTGGGCATGGTGGTACACATCTGTAAGCCTAGCAATCACAAGGAAGAGGAGGAAATCTGAGAGGTCTCCACCAGTCAGAAAGTTCTAGGCTGGCCTGAACTACACAAGACCCTTGTCTAAAAGAAAAAGAAAGGAAGGAAGAAAAAGAAAGAAAATAACAACAAAAAAGTTGAAGACCTAACAGTTACACAGAATCACACATCTGTAGAGAACTTGTAGCCAATCAAACATTAGCCTAGGAAGGAAGAAAAAAACAGTTTGACAGTTTTTAACACAGATGGATAATTGAAGGAATTACAAAAAGAACAAGCAGAGAGGAAGAGTAAAGAGAGAAAGATTATTAAAAAAATGCATGCCCTTGGTGGGACAAATGTAAAAATATGTAAAGAGAGAGAGAGAGAGAGAGAGAGAGAGAGAGAGAGAGAGAATATTTTTAAAAAAGCATTACTGCCGGGCAGTGGTGGCGCACGCCTTTAATCCCAGCACTCGGGAGGCAGAGGCAGGCAGATCTCTGTGAGTTCGAGACCAGCCTGGTCTACAAGAGCTAGTGCCAGGACAGTCTGCAAAGCTACAGAGAAACCCTGTCTCGAAAAACTAAAAAAAAAAAAAAAAAAAAAAAAAAGCATTACTTTGTAAGCTGGAGACAGCATTGACTGCTCCTACATAAGACCTGAGTTCAGTTCCCAGCACCCACATGGCAGTCCACAACTGTCTATAATGGTAGTTCCATGGGACTCGATCCCCTATTCTGAGGTGTAGATGTATATGTAGACAGAATACCTACACACATAAACAAATAAATCAATAATAATAAATTTTAACAAAAATAAAATAAAAATAAGCACACCCTGTCCTGGTGATGCAGGCAGGTAACCCTAGTTGTTCAAGACAGTGGAGCAAGATTATTCTAAGTTTCCACCCTTCCTGGGCTACAGTGAGTTTGAGGGGATCCTGAACACATTAGAGAGACCCTATCTCAAAATAAAATATGAAATCAAAGATTTTGATATAACTCAGTGGTTGAAACTTCTTAGCAGATGTAAGACCCTATGTTTCATCTCCAATACCATTTTTTAATCCAAAAAAGAACACATATCATTAGCAGATAGGTTTGCCAAAGGTAAATTAAACTTTTTAAAATTTCATTTCTAATTTAAATCACATACAGGTCAAACATAAAGATTAAATTGATAAATAGTATCCTTTACTTCTTCTTTAGGTGTTGAAAAGAAAAATAACAAGAATTTCCTATTCTGAAAATATTTACAATCACCAGCCAGATCCCACATTTGCTTAGCAAACCTCGCCCTCTAGTGGAGAACTGTACTATTGCGCGACATAGTCATCAACAGAATACTACAATTCTTTTTTTTTTTTAAGATTTATTTATTAATCAAAACAACTCTGAGATTCCATCTTACACCTGTAAGAATGGCCAAGATCAAAAACACTAATGACAACTTATTCTGGAAAGAATATGAGGTGAAGGGAACACTCCTGCATTGCTATTGGTTGTGCAAACTGCACCGCTGCTTTGGAAATCAGTATGGCAATTTCTCAGAAAATTAGGAAACATCCTTCCTCAAGACCCAGCAATACCACTTTTGTGTATATACTCAAAAGATGCTCAATCGTACCACAAGGACATGTGCTCAATTATGTACAGAACATCATTGTTTGTCATAGTCAGAACCTGGACAACCTAAATGCCCCTCAACCAAAGATGAATAAAGAAGATGTGGTACATTTACACAATGGAATAATACACAGCAGAAAAAATAAGGACATTTTGAAATTTGCGGGCAAATGGATGGATCTAGGAAACATCATATTGAGTGAGGTAACCCAGACACAGAAAGACAAATATAATACATATTCACTCATAAGTGGCTTTTGGACATAAAACAAAGAAAAATCAGCCTACAATTCACAATCCCAGAGAACCTAGACAACAAAGAAAACCCTAAGAGAGACATACATCGATAAAATCTACATGGAAAGAAGAAAAGAATAATATCGCCTGTAACAGCGTAAACGAATGCAGACAGATTGTAAAAATATATATACAGCTTTAATGGCGAAATAGACTTACAGAACCACCGTTCCCGCGGAGACCAGGAAAGCAGAAGGGACAGCTGGGAGCACGCTGGCCAAATTTGTAGGCAAACATTAGCCCGAGGTGAACACGCCCCCCAAGGGGCGGGACTTATCCCTACAATCTCCTGAGTAAATTGGGAGTGTGGGAATCATCATAGGAGAGGGTAAAATGGGAGAGGGAAAAAAGGAAGGGAGGGGAGAAAATTATATAGCTCAATTAAAACAATTTTAAAAATCAGGAAAAATATTTATTTTATGTGTATAACTGTTTTGCTTGCATGTATGTATATGCACCATGTGTATGCCTAGTGCCCTTAGAGGAAAGAAAAGGGCATCAGATATCCTAAAACTGGAGTTACAAATGGTTGTAAACCATCATGTGAATGACTGGGAACCAGACTACTCCTCTGCAAGAGTAGTCAATGCTCTGAACTCCACGGCCATTGCTCCAGCCTCTATAAAGTTTTTCATCTGAACATCACTTTATTCCATTCCATTGCTATACAGAAAAGCAAATTAATTCAGAGGGAATGTTTTATGGGCAATTTTCAACAAAATTGTACTAACAAAATTATCAATAAATTTTAATGTGAAAGTCTACAAGTGCACATTTATTATAATTAAAGATGATACGCCAAAAACATGCCTACTACTCACAATAGCAAACATCAACAATCCCTATACAAATACCATCTACTCCAGTTGGAAAAACAGCAGCCCCTAAAGAAGCCAAAACTGTACAATGGAAAAAAGAAAGCATCTTCATCAAATGTTGCTGGCATAACTGGGATGTCACCATGTAGAAGAATGCAAATAGATCCATATCTATCCCCAAAACTCAAGTACAAGTGGATCAAAGACCCAGTTAGAACCTGATAGAAGAGAAAGTGAAAACTAGCCTTGAATGCATAGACACAGGAGACTACTTCCTAAATGTAACAGCAATAGCATAGATACTGAGATAAACAATTAATAAACGGGACCTCCAGAAACTGAAAAGCTTCTGTAAGGCAAAGGACAAGATCAATAAGACAAAACAGCAGTCTACAGAATGGGAAAAGATTTCATCAACTCCACATTTGACAAAGGGCTTATCTCTAATATATATAAAGAACTCAAGAAACTAGACATCAAAATATCAAATAATGAAATTTAAAAATGGGGTACAGATCTAAATAGAGAATTCTCCTCAGAAAAAATGTCAAATGGCTGATGGATATTTAATGTTCAACATCCTTAGTCATCAGGGAAATGCAAATCAAAATGACTCTGAGATACCATCTTACACCTGTCAGAATAGCTTAGATCAAAAACACTGATGACAGCTTATGTCAGAGAGGATGTGGAATAAGAGGAACACTCCTCCACTGCTGGTGGGAGGGCAAACCTGTAGAGTCACTTTGGAAATCAGTACGATGGTTTATCAGAAAATTGGGGATCAATCTACCTCAAGATCCAGCTATAGCACTCTTGGGCATATACCCAAAGGGATCCTCAATCATATCACAAGGACACTTACTCAACTATGTTCATAGCAGCCTTATTTGTCATAGCCAGAACATGGAAGCAACCTAGATGTCCCTCAACTGAGAATTGATAAAGAAAATGTGGTACATTTACACAATGGAGTATTTTATTACTCAGTTGTAAAAAGCAATGACCTCATGAAATTTGCAAGCAAATCGATGGAACTAGAAGAAACTATTGTGGGTGAGACAACCCAGACCCAGAAAGATGAACATGTATGTACCCACTCATAAGGGGTATTAGGAGCAGAGTATTGGATAATTAACCTACAACCCACAGTCCCAGAGAGGCTATATAACAAGGAGGGCCCAAAGAGAGAAGATGCATGGATTGCCCTGGGAAATGAAAATAGAAGAGCTCTCCTGGGAAAACTGGGGGCAGGGGAAGGGAGGACAGAGGGATGGAAATTTGAGGGAGCACTTTGGGTGGGCTGAGTGCTGAAGGCAGGTTGGAGGCTAGACTGAGCGGGAGTGTAACAAAAGAGACATCTTGATGGGGGGATCGTTTGGGGGTTAAGGAGAAACCTGGCACCAGGAAAACCCCCAGGAATCCACAAGGATAACCCCAGTTAAGACTCCTAGAAACAATGGAGAGAGTACCCGAACTGGCCTTCCACTATAATCAGATTGGTGACTACCCTAATTGTCATCCAGTAACTGATAGAAGCAGATGCAGGGATCCACAGCCAAGCACTGGACTGAGCTCAGGAGTCTTGCTGAAGAAAAGGAGGAGGGATAATATGAGCCAGGGGTGTCAGGAGAGGGGAATCCACAGAGACAGCTGACCTGAGCTCATGGGAGCTCATAGACTCTGTTAGGGAGCCTCCATGGGACTGACCTAGGCCTTCTGCATATATGTGACACTGTGTAGCTTGGTCTCTTTAAAGCTCCTAGCAGTGAGGTCAGGACCTATCCCTGGCACTGACTCACTTTTGGGAACATGTTCCCCACGCTGGATTACCTTGTCCAGTCTTGTTGCAAGGGGAGGAGCTCAGTCCTGCCTCAACTTGATGTGCCCTGCTTTATTCAAACCTGGGGAAAGGGGGGCTTGCCCCTTTCTGAATGGAGACAGAAGAGTGAAAGAGGAAAGGGATATATGAAAAATGGGGGGAGGGACTTGGAGGAGAGGAGGAAGGAAAAACCATGGTCAGTATGTAAAATAAATGGGAAAAAATGCTATTTAAAAAAATTTTAGAAAAAGAAAACCAATACTTCATGTTCTCTTTCATAGTGGAAAGTTAAAGAGCAAGTTGATCTTACAAAAAACAAAGTGGATTGGTGTTTACTAGAGGTTAAGAGGGGTATATAGGAAGAATAGAGAGGCTGGATAATAGAACGCAAATACAGTTACATAGGGGGAATAAATTCTAGCTCTGCACAGCACAGTAACAGTAGTTTACATCAATTCTATAAATTTATAAATATAAAATTTACATCAATTTTATAAAGAACTGGAAGACAGTGGTTCTAACTTACCCAAGAAAAAAAGCTGATAAATGTCTAAGGAGATGAAATGCTAGTAACTATACATCGCCATTACAAATTATATGAAAGTATCACATTCCTTACTGAACTCCATAAAAGCAAACAATTATTGTTTGTTAGTTCAAAAAGATATCTATGGCCGGGCGGTGGTGGCGCACGCCTTTAATCCCAGCACTTGGGAGGCAGAGGCAGGTGGATCTCTGTGAGTTCAAGACCAGCCTGGTCGACAAGAGCTAGTTCCAGAACAGGCTCCAGAACCACAGAGAAACCCTGTCTCAAAAAACCCAAAAAAAGAAAAAAGAAAAAAAAAAAAGATATCTATGCACACATGGTAAGGAATTCAACAGAAGAAGCCTATTTAGTAGAGAAGTATGTCTAAGCCACACCCCTTTTCTGTATAACATGCCATAACATTGAATGTTCAAAATATATTTTAGCCTAGGAGAGAAAGGAATAATCATTGGGAATTATTTATTTGAGATTTGGGACAACGGAGTTCACAATGAAAGTCTGATTCTCAGTCTTGCCTTCCACTTCATTTTGACGAGATATGTAAATATCAAGGGCATTTAGAAAACAAGCTGAAAATCATATTTACTGTGACAACAACATCACAGATGAGTGAAGCCAAGAGTGGAGGGTAGGTAAAAATTACCATCAACTCAAAACTCTATCGTTTTGAAATTCAGCCAGAATGTTATTTTCATTCAAATAAGAGAAGGTTCACAGATCAGGTTTCCCTTCAACGGTCTCCTAGAAAGGACAAGGACAGTCCCCACAAGAGGGACCATCCAAGAATGACAGGATGGGCAGCTCACAGAAGTACCACCACAGACCAAGAAGCAGATAGGAAAGGGAAAGCAGAGAGCTAGACCTTTGCTGGAGTTTGTATGCAGAGGGATGACCATGACAGGAAAGCCAGACTTTGCCAGCTGAGGATGGCAAAGTTTGATGAACTGCAGAGATCTCTAGGCCACGGGTATGAGAGGTCGCTAAATTGTCCCACACCCAGCCTTGGGTGGGTTTACAGCAAGAATGTGGACTTGGTATGAGAAATTTACTAAAAGAAGTGGTTGAGGGCCATAAACAGGTTGGTTTGCATCCCAAAAGCATGCTTTGGAGAAAGTATTTGCTATTGCTATCAGTTATCTAGCCTTGGGAAGGGCAGCCCAAGATATCAGAGCCTCATAAAACATAGAAAATAAAATTCTCAATTAGTACTAAAATAAAGATAAAAAATAACAAGAAGAACTGAAATAGGGCCAAATTATAATTAGGGAAGTTGAGGTTAAGCATTAATAGTAATTGAGATGTAGTTCAATAAATCAATTTTAAAATTCCTTTTATAATGTAAATGGTTCTTAAAATGTGTAAATAATAAAGTCCACAGTGAGTAACATTAAGTAACGCCAACTGACATCTTTAAATAGTCAAGAATGGAGAAGCAAAACACAAGCGCTAAGGGACCATTAACAATGCCTAGGAACTAGAAACCACACTTAAACACCATCGCTGTGAACACTGCGGACATGGGTCTTTAAAGAACTCCAGACATGTCTGTCAGGGAAGCTGAAGCTACAAATCAGACCAATGAAGTGAAAGCATGCATGTTTTCACATACCTCGGAGTAGCAGGTTACGTCAGTCAGTAATGCCCTCTCACAGACATTTCCTACTGGAACTTTCTAGAATAGTTAGCCCACAATTATGTTACGAGGGAAATATTGCCAAATTTGAAAAGGGGTATTCCATCCTTCTATCCATATGGCATTGTTTGAAAATATAAAGCTTGACCCCAAACAGAATGTAATGAGTTTTTATCCCCATTCCATATGTACAGACATTGTGTACAAACACGGAAAGCACTGAGCTACAAAATCTTCCTTGGTTCTCTGGACCAAACCTTCCCGCTCTCATAGAATTGTCAAGCACTTCCCTCAGTGTAAGATCTGGCTGCCCCAGTAGTGTTGCCATGGAGATCATTAGAAAAGGGAGCAACCTCATCAACAACCACAAAGTGACACCCACCTTTGCTTTTCCTCAGTTCCTCCACAAGGCACTGTGCTTCCTCTTGTACACGGTCCTCAATGCTCCTCTTCCCCATCCCAAAGTTCCGCAGGGTCATGATGGAGAAACGCCGGATCTCCCTCCATTTCATCCCATTGCTGAAAAGGATTCCTACCAGGATGGGAAACGGGAGCTAGTCAGGAAACCGACAAGGAACCGGCGCATGGAGCCATGTGGATGGCCCAGAGCAGCCGGAAGCTCATCCAGTCCTCATCTGCATGGCCAAGGCCCAACTCATGCGTGCACACTTTTGTGCTCACACTTACCAAGGCCTCTGTTTACTCTTTCCGATATCGGAAAACTGCCTCTTCCAGAAAATTCCTCTCCGAGATTAACAAGGGCCTCCTTCACAGCTTCATAACCATGCAACACCACAGAGGGCTTCGTGCCAAAATACAGAGTGAACACAGGGCCATAGACTTTGGAGAACTGGAAAGTTGGGAGGAATAACCAAATAACAGTGAAAATAAAATCAGTATAATCTACTGATGTTATCATACTTTTGACGATTTTTTTTTCTCCCATTTGGTTGCTGGATTTCATACATAAAAACAATGTTGTTTGTTGGAGCTGCCACGGGCAGAATGTCCCCCATTTGCCAAGAACTTATGAGGGAAATCCTACATAGACCATCACAACTAACCAACATCTTGAGCTACATTTATTAATTTTGCAGCTAAAGAGACTGAGGCTTAAAGGAGTTCAATCATCTCAGCATTACATAAATAAAAGACCCAAATTTGAACCTGCTTAGTGAATTTCTGTTATCTGTGCAGACAGTCCCCAAAGTCCACACTAGACAAATGTCCAGCTGCTATTGAACTTGCTCTTTTCAGGGGATTCTGTGACTAATAATTAGAAATCTATAAGTTTTTAAGTCCTTTGGGACTGGGGATATGGTTTAGTAAATGCTTGTTATAATGCTTGCTGTGCGATCGTGAGGACTGGACTTCAGATCCCAGTGAGTGCATAAAAAGCTAGGTGTTCTCAGGTCAATAATTCCAGCCCTGGGAAGGCAGAGACAGGTGGATCCTGGGGCTTGATGATCAGCCAGATGAGCCAATCACTGAGATCTAGGTTCAGTGGCCTACCTGGTCTTAAAAAATAGGAAGGAGAAACCAATGAAGACACTCCGCTTCATTCAACCTCTGGCTTCTTTACCCAGACACACAGACATCTACACACACACACACACACACACACACACACACACACAAGCTCAGAGAGAGAATGTATGTGCATTATAGCATTCCTCTATTCCTGACAATGGCACCCTAAATACCTATGTGAATATTTGCTGTAAATAAAATAGTTAAATAATAGCCAACATTCATTTTCTTTTGAAACTTAGTAGAGAAAAGCACTTACGTTGGTTAAAGATTTGCTGACATCCTTCACATCTATCTGCAGGATGTTTCCAATAAACGGGAGAGGAGTGGGACCAGGGGGGAGCTTCCCTCTCCCCGAGTTCTGTCTCCAGAGTGAGAGGAGAAGCAGACAGGAGACAGTGAGCACCAGGACTGTAACCAGATCCATGGCAGCCTTCTCTTCTCAGGGAGACACCTGTGAGCTTGCAGTCCAGAGCTTTTATAATGCTCGCTGTGAACTCAGCATGTGCCTCCGAGGCATGAGGGACCAATCAGCGAGGTTTACTCTAATCTTTCTTCTTTGTGGACTCTGGCCCGTTGAAAAATACAAACGGAAGCTGTTCTTCACTCTCACACACTGCTATTCCACCCTGGAAGCGTGTCACAACTGGCCCAGGGTGCGACCCATGGACTGTGATTTTTGTTTTTGAATTCACCCCAGTTGATTCCAGCATGCAACCTAAACCGGCAGTGGGGGAGGGACAATAAAGTAAATCATTTGCTCAAAAGATTGTTCAAACATTTAAAACAAATCATATACACACACACACATATATATATAGTAATATTTACTTGATAAAGCTTCCCAGTGATTGCAATATATGCCTTAAAAATGAAGCCCTTTTTAAAAATGCTTTAGTGTGATGTAGTAACACTAGAGTTGATTAATCATCAGTTAAGCCACATAATTAGCTCAGTTAACATGCCACACCTTTTGCCATTTGCCATCCTGCAAAGCCCTTTTGGGCAGAAGATACTCTTTTCACCCCTCAGAGAGTGCAGGCCACCAGACTGGCAGTGGCTCAGCTGGCAGAGATCGCTCGGGTACCCACCATACTGACTATTGACAAAATGAGACCGTGTTCTCCAGAAATAAAATCAACAGCACAGCTTCTCCCTTTCATTCCCTCAGGATGGGAAACTCTCTCAGCTGAGGGTCCCAGGCAAAGCCCCCTGCACATTGTCCTCATTTCCTGCCATGCTGTGCTGCCTGGAGCGTCAGGAAGGATCATACCAATGTGGACTCTCTCCCACTTTCCACGAGAGTTTTCTTACTATTATGCTATGCCCAGGTGCAGCTGTCACTCACCTGATTTCTTTAACGCTTGTGGCGCTGTTTTCTTGTGTGAGTAGTTGCTCAGATGGCTGATTCTCTTGGGGAAAGCGTGCTGATTGCTAACTATTCCATCCTCTTGTTCAGGCTTTGCTCTGCAGAAAAGCCTAGTCTCTGAATAACTTCCTCATTCCCCAGCAGCCCGCACTCCAGAAGCAACAGCTGCTTCTGTGGTTTTTTGGCCTGTTACCATTCCAGATGAAGAAATATAGGAACACAGAACATACTGGGAGGAGGGGTTCAGAGTTAGCTAGGCAGAGCTTCAGGCATGTGCTCTTGGGAGGGATGGAAGAAAGGACTTCAGCATACAGACCCACTGCCCTAAGGACCACAGAGGGAGCTGGTGGAGGAAATGGACCACCATCACTAGGGCACTTGGGAGGGATGGAAGAGAGGGACTTCAGCATACAGACCCACTGCCCTGAGGACCACAGAGGGGCTGGTGAAGGAAATGGACCACCATCACTAGAGTGGAGCTTTCACACAGCAATGACGTGCAAAGCTCTATCGGTCCTCAATTAACCAGTATGGGGAATTGTCCTTAAATTTTTTTAATTTATTTTTATTTCCTCTTCATAGGAGTTTTACCTGCATGTATGTCTGTGTGAGGGTGTCAGAAGCCATGTGTGAGCTGCCATTTGTGTACTGGAAATTGAACCCAGGTCCTCTGGACGAGCAGCCAGTGCTCATAACTGCTGAGTCATCTCTCCAGTCCTCTTAAATTTTTCTTTTTATTGGCTGCATTTAAAGTGTACAACATGATACTCTGATATACACATTTAAGTGATTACTATACTCAAACAAAGCAACACAATTCACCACTTTACACTAGTTACTTTTTCTTCCAAGCAAAGCTGTGCTTTCTGGAATTCTGGAAGAGAAAACCTAAATCTGTCCTTTCCCCACCTTTGCAATGAGATTTATTATTATGCTATACCCAGGTGAAAAACTCTGTGGAACTGGCATACAACTCAGTGATACAGAGATTGTCCAGTATGTACAAGGCCTGGGGTTCATTCTACACACACACACACACACACACACACACACACACACACACACACACAGAGCTACTTTATAGAAAAGTTTCTGCTTGGTAGAAAGGTTTCCATTTATATTACTATACCAGTAACTATTAGCTACTTCCCTTAGGTGTTACTTGACATCACTGTACTTTTTCCCTAACTCCTAATTCTTCCCATTTCCTCCTGCCCTCGCCTGGAGATGACTGGTTCTAATTCACTTCTGTTTGCTAACTCGCTTTTTTCAGCCATATGAGGTCATAGTTTCTTTGTTTGGCTCCTTTTACTCAACATGTCTTTCAGACTCACCCATATTGTGCTAAATAAGGCTGAATGCCACATTGTACACATACGAAGTACCATATCTTTATCTAGCTATCTGTTGTTGGCCATTTTAGTTGCTAACTGATCATTTTTTAATATTTACTTTTCATTTTGTGTGCACTGGTCCATGCACCCAAGTGCAGATACAATGGAATTTCCAGGGGGTACTGAGCCACCTGATATGGGCAGTGGGAGCCAAACGCTAGGCTTCCGCAAGAACAGCAGGCACTCTTAATCACTGGGTCATCTCTCCTCCCATTTCTGTATCTCGGCTGTTGTGAAGAAAAATAAATTTGTGTCATAATTTCAAGCTACAGCACAGGAAAATTAAGTTTTACTAAGAGCCCAAACACACAATATTTTATTACCCACTTTCCTGGGATTCCTAACAATTTATAGGAAGTTTCGCACCTGTCATATCTCTTGGGATCCTCTCAAGCTCCCTTACCCATTTTGAGGTTGGAGGGAACTGAACCTTGGAGAGTCAGTGCTTTGGTTAAAGACACACAAACTAGGTGGCAGAGCTGGGACTGTAACCTGTGTCCCTTCTGTTTCACATCTTTCCTTTTGTAAAATGTTCACTTCATATGGATTCACCAACACTTACTCATTGTGTAATATGATCCCAATGTTGATTCAACCTAATCAATGACTTCCAAAGTACACATTACCTAGGTAAATAATTAACACACCAGCTAATTTAAAGGAAAGTCAGAAAAGTTTGGTTATATAATCTTGTAATTTGAGTGACCTCATCTTTTTATCTTTATTACATTTCATTTAGTTAATTATTTAATATGTGTTTGCATGTATCGGCTTGGGGTCCACGTGTGTCATAACACTAGAGGTCAGAAAACAGCATATAGGAGTCCATTTCTCTCCCTCCACCATATGGATCCCTGGAATTTAATTAATTAAGTTTGGTGACCAGTGAAGCCATCTTGCCAGCCCCAATCTCAAATCTTAGTAAGTGCTTTAACCAGGACAAAGAGAATGAGTTATTTTATTGTTTGACTCATGTGTTATTTTGGACTACATTAATTCAGTTACGGTTGTAGAATATTAAAGATGTGTTTTATTTGTTTAGGCTGTGGGACATTTGTTTAATGTTGCAAAGATGTGTTACATTCTTTTATGTTGCATTTTAACTCCGTAAAGCTGTGTTTCTAAGCCTGTCTAAAGCACCTGATTGGTCTAACAAGTAGTTGAATGGCACACACACACACACACACATATTCATAATTTCTAAATATATAGATACCTGCTCAGTTCATGTGATGTTACTTGTATGTATGATGTTTTCAGGGCTGACCACTCAGTATTGGAGAACTAAATGGTGTGTCTTTCTTGGGGAAGACTATTTCTCCCACTCTCAGCCTTCCTTAGTCATCTGTAGTTCTTTTCCTAGGGTGGAGGCCCCGTGAGATTTCCCCTTCCATGTTAGCAAGTCTATTTGTGTCATTCTTGTTCCAGCCCTAAATAGGCAGCAGTGTTGGGGAGGCTTCATGGTGCAGCTTCTCTGCCATCTCTAAGAACCAAAGTCTCACCATAAATTTTTTATTTATCTGCCTCTTACAATCTTTCCTTCTTCTCTTCCATTAAGATTCCTAAGCCTTAGATGCAAGAATTTTGTTGTGGATGATCCGTTGGGGTTTGGCACCACATAATCTCTTGTTCTCTGCATTTTGATCAGTTGTGGTTTTCTGTAATGGTGTACATTTGTTGAAAGGAGACATTTCTTTGATGAAGGGCGAGTCCTACACTTACCTGTAGGTATAACAATAAATTTTTTGGATGGAATAAAAAATTATGTTCGATTAGTAAAGTGGTGGTTACAGGCCCTCCTCCAAGATTCATGATTTTATTTGCTCCAGGAAAGTTTGCTAGGTTTCCATTATCAGGCAGAGCGAGGGCCTTAAGTACAGTCAAAGAACTATTGGTTAACATCAAGGCATACACCACCACCACCTGGCAAACAATGTTTAAAAAAAAAATCTCACAATGAAACCTATTGTGTGTATAATTAACAAATATTAGTAAAAACTGGGCAGGAAGAACAACTATACTGCTATAGAGATGTAATAGGAAGCTAAACACAGACTCAGACACAAGTTTGTGTAAGACATTTCTCTGCAGAGCCGGCTGAAGGACAGAGGCCTAGAAATGTCCCCAGGAAAAGAGAACCTGGTTGAGAACATGAATTCAGGCAATGGAGGACAGAGTCTAACAATGAAAGGATCCAAGATCAGAAAGAGAGAGCCTAAGTCACAGTAAATTTAAACATTTAAAATAGGGAAAAGTCAGCCCATTCTACACCAATAAGCTGAAGAGGAAGGAAAGCCCACCAGGCAGGGAAGCATAAAGATGACCAGTCTGAGAACATCCCCATTAAGTAGGTAGATTTTGAGGAGGGAGGACATAAACTGAGCTTCACGCATATAAAAAGCTTACTTGTGGACTGGAGAGATGGCTCAGAGGTTAAGAGCACTGGCTGTTCTTCCAGAGGTCCTGAGTTCAATTCCTAGCAACCCCATGGTGGCTCACAGCCATCTGTAATTAGATCTTGTGCCTTCTTCTGGTGGGCAGGCATACATGCAGGCAGAACACTGTATACAAAATAAATCTTAAAATTTAAAAAAAAAAAAAAAAGGAAATAAAAAAGCTGCCTTCAGCCGAAGGCCCAGGTCAGTCATATCACACAAGCAACAG